GGAAATATGGATATTCATATTCCACTGACTCGCTGTCATTAATCTGAATGTCTGTTTAAGTTGTTCATTTCTCACTGTGACTTTTGTGACACGTTCAGCTTAGTTAGAATCAGCGTCACAGGAGAGGAGCTGAGGGCAGGGGAAAAGAGAGAGAGAGAGAGAGAATACAGGAGGGAGACTAGACAGTCCAACAACCAACAAAGAAAAATCTCTAACATTTTCAACTTGAGAATAATGAGGCAGAGATGTGAGAGGAGCATGAGGGAGACGGAGCCACGGAGAGGGAGAGATGAGAGACGGAAAGAGAGAGGCAGTCTTGTTTCCAACATGCAGCAACTAAGGATCTCACAGCCTGTTGGTTATGTACTTCTACTCATCAGCACTTTACTACAGACCCACAACTCCGAGCTCAAAAACTTGATGGAAGAGCTGGGAACAGCAGTGTAGGGTTGACCAAGAGCTTAGCTCAAGAGTACACCTTAACATTTTCAGATCTGCACGGTGAAGCTTACAAGGCGACAGCAGATATCCTGTATCTAACGCAGATAATGTTGGAACATCAGCGTGCGTCAGATTCAGCCTCTAGATACGGCAGGAGAGATACCACAAAGATATTACAACAATCCTGTTCAGAGTGTATTAAAAGACTGAGCGCTACCTGGGGAGTTGTCTCCCAGAGATCGTGCTCCCAATCATTATGCCTTCTTTGCCTTTTGATAGAAAATTCAACTTATTTATGTTTCACCGGCATGAAATTCAAAAGTCACAACCACTTGTTCAGACGTTTTTTCACTTTACAAATGTTAATGTTAAGCAATCCTTATCTGTCCTCTTCATTTTAAGGCTTTACAGGAGCTTTTCGTAAGTTTTGCTTTTGCTGCATAGCTAACGTTACGCATTAACAGCCAGTCTGGAGGAAATGTTGCGAGTTCAGCACTGAACTTCACTCCAGCGGTGGAGAGCAACATCAATTTTAACTCTTGTCTCTATCACATCTTTTCTCTGACTGAAGTTAGCATGCTAACCAGCTAGCCCTGGGCCGTCTTGTCATTTCCTGAAAGTGACTCGCTCTAGCCTCAGATCTGCCCTGAAGGTGTAGCGCTGCTCAGAGGGCGTATTTTAACCTTTGTTATGTAAATGCAACAATGGCCAAAGCTTTTATCAAGCGACAATCACCACCCCCATCTCCTGGCAAGAAACCACGTTTGGCAGCAGAGAAAACTTACAAAGAGCCCCTTTAATCTCAACCTGTTCTTTATCAATTTGTAGGTTTTAGAACATGTAAAGGAATCATAAAATAATAAATTCATCTTGTACTCTTATCTAATTTTATAAAAGTTTACGAGAGAACAGAGGGATAGTATTTATGTTTTTATGACAACAAAAACAAAAGCAAACTACAGATCATATCATTTCTAGAATTGAGATTGTTTTCTCGATCCTACAAGCTTTTTCACTCATCTACATTTTTCAGCATTGTTGTATGGATGTTGTATGTTTGTATTTGTAGCGTATATGAAAAATTTCCTCTCGTGGGACTGCAATTCCATGGGATTCAGCCAGACTTCACAGAGCTGAGCTCCAGGATCAGCTGGATGAAGAGCTCTTGTTATTGCTTTGCTCAAGCTGGTTTATCTCGGCACAGTGGAGAGACTGTGTACCAATGCTTTCCAAATGATTGTCATGTTTGACAACTCAATTCTGAGGGTAGAGTGCTGCGAAAGTGGAGCGTGTTGTCGCTTTATGACGTGTGAGACATTTACTCTCTTTGCATTGCATTTGTTCCAGGGGAAGAGTGTCTGTGTGCCGCACTGCCTTGACAGACTATTCCCTCTCACTCAAAATGAGATATTATTTGTTGGCCACTGCAGTGGTCCCACACCGTGCCTCCACCAGTCATGGTGTATATTACTCTAGAATAAAGATTTTCAGCTCTCAACCGAGATAATAATTGCACATAGCAGTACAGCGATGCTATGTAACAAAGGCTCAGTTCTCAGCAGAAGAGAAACAAGACTTTAGAGACGCAATGTCACAGGAACAGTGGGCACTAGAGGATGGAATGCGAGCGAGGAGAAAGGGCATAGTGCTGTGAAATACCATATTGACAGTCACACTGCTCTTCTGCTTGATCATTATTCTGAGGTAGTGGCAACAGATGACCTTTCCTGGTCAAGAGCTTAGTGTGGTTAAAATTCAATTGAGTGGAAGAGAGCAGAAAGGAGGGAAAAAAAAAAAATAACATGGTAACCTTTATTCTGCCATTGATGCTAACCTTGAACAATGGGCCCCAAAGGGGATAAGTGTCTTGTACTTTAATGTGTGCAAGAGAACAGGCTTTAGAGTGTGTGTGTGTGCGTGTGTGTGTGTGTGTGCGTGTGTGTGTGTGTGTGCGTGTGTGTGTGTGTGTGCGTGTGTGTGTGTGTGTGTGTGCGCGTGTGTGTGTGCACACCTTTGTATACAGTTTGTGTGTGATGTGCATGGCTGTGAGCGAATGCAGCAAAAAGCAATGATTGTGTGTTTGTGGTAGCAACAGAAATAAGAAGGCAGACGGGATAACAAAGAGAAAGACTTATATATGGGGGTACGATGAAATTGTTAGAAACACAAAGTCACTGGGACATTTACCATATCTTTTTGTCTGTCTCACATAGATATAAATCAGCCCAGCCCGTGCTACCGCCACCAAAACACGACCAAATCTCCTACCCCTGCTTCTTATCCTCAGCCATTTTATTACTGACCTCTTCTGTTGTTTTCACTATCCATCCATCCTTCCATCCTTCCCTTTCCTCGGTCTCCTCCCTACCTCCCCTCTTGAGGACTGAAACAGGCCTAATTGAAATAAATGAACTGGGGAGCAAATCACAGTTGATAACATCAGCTGTGTGGGGATGCTGATTGCGAGCTTGTTGAGTGAATGTCGCAGACTGGTTGGTAATGAAGAGCCTTGTTTGCCTATTAAACGTTCACTGGACATCGCAGACAGCCACGTGCCCTCATGGATGTTGTCCTGACCCACCCGTGGGGGGTCCGGGGAGGAAAAAGAAAACCGAATGATTTCTTGTTTGTTTTTATTCGCACATCAATTTTTGAACAAGTACATTTTGTTTTTCATTCAGGCAACAGGTTATTGCTCATAAAGTCCTCAGAATAACTGTACAGTATATAAAATTAGTACAACAAACACTATACACAGGAGGGGCAGCGCAGGATGGGGACCGGAGGAGAGGAGTTAATCACTGGAATGTTAAAACGCTATGAAACAAATACAGCAGTGGGAGTGAATTGCAAAATTGCACTTGCTGGGTACACAGTCTACTGTTTGAGTCGGAGGAGGTGAGCAGAGCATTAAGAAATTTCATTTGCTGGAGGGAAAATGAACCGTAAAAATAGAATTCACATACATATGTCATTTCTGTAATATTTCACAGCTCTATTTGCTAATTTGAAGAAGAGAAGACAATTCAAGCCAGAATGCAGAGACAGACTGTGGGAACAAAGTCATCTAAAGACAAATCCTGTAGCTGCTCCACCGATACAGAACACTGGTTATGACACTATAATAGCAATCGTAGTAGTTGTACTGGGATGCGAGGACAATTTCTGATTCAAAGCTCTACAATTAAAAAAAGTTATTTGAAAACAATATCTGAGAAAAAACATCTGCAGTGGATCAACTTCTTAAAATGTTACAGCATTACTGCAATTCCAGTCTTCTTCTTGTAATTTCTATTTTTGGGAAAACAGATGTCTGTGTATGTAGATACTGGATTTACCATCCAAAATTGCTGGAGCAGCACAGTCTCAATTCTGATCTAAGAGTGGATTTTCCCTTTCAAGCGATCAACCACATTGCTCTGAACTGTCCCTAACCTCCTTTCACCGGCCCTGTGAAATTGGCACAATCAGCCAGAAGACGTGTGAAAAAAAGAAAAAAGAAAAAAAAAACACAGCAGACTATGTCTCCAGCTTCTGAGGATGTTTGGTGCTGCTGAAAGAGCAATAACCCCTTTCCTCTCCAGTCCTATAATCCTGCCCACAGAGACACACAAACACAGTGACACAAAAATCACAGAATCATCTTTTAGCACCACTGAAAGAGCAAATCGTGTCAAATGAACAACGAGCAGCATATGCTGTTCCAAATTTCAACATATGAACAAAACAGAGAAGCAAAAACCTCTCGAGTGGGGCAGAAAAGTGAAAACAGGATATGTCAGCAATTCTAAAATGTTTTCAAGAGATAGAGCATAAAATGTCTCTCGGTATAAAGGACTGCAGTTAAGACTAGAGAACAGAGAACATTTTAATCTCTCTTAATTCTTGCCCTGAAACATCCCCATCCTAGTTTCTGAAGTATTTCCAAGCAAGTACATACCACAGTAGAAAGGATGTAAGTCTGACATGTACAGTACTATAATCAGTTGAAACATGGGGGGCTCAAATAGCTTCTTATCAAGCCCATAGAGGGAAGCAGTCCAATGCAGGAAACAACCTTATCCATTCAAGTAAGTGTCGGGTTCAGTAACTAGCTACACCTATTGAATACTAATCAAGGTAATTCACTGCGAAAAACTGCAGTTGAAGGGTAAAAAGGACAATTTATCATTCCTGCACACAGGAAATTAATTATGGCGCTTGTGTGGAATTAATATGCTAGGCTAGTTCACAGCTGCTATGCAATTGTCATTATAGTGAAATCCGAGCATGCAAATGAGTATGACGACTTCTCTGATTTATTCAGTCTCAGTCTTTTGTAAAACGTTAGGTAGCAACTACCTCATCTGTGATCTGAGAAGTCCCACTTAACCGACCCATACCACAGAATGACAGAGATCGGACAGATCCGTCTCATTTACAAGTGGTCATTGTCAAGTGGTGCGGTCCTCATAATTCTTGAGGATCAATTAGAGCACACTCAGTGAAAAAAAAAAAAAAAAACAAACAAACAAAAACACTTAAAATTAAATATATCTAACTGGAATATTTCCCTTTGGTAAATGTGCTTTGTGCCCACTGTTGCATGTCCTCTTTCTTGCCATTCTTCTTATTGCTGTTGTAAAGCCATAGAACCTATTTCATTGGCTGTTGAAGAATCTTAAATAATATACCACAAACCCACCACATACAGGAACATAATGTAATAAATATTGATTGGGCCAGCGGTAAAAGTCCAGTTTCTTTCACTGAAAACTTGCTGTGCAGGTCTTTTTTTGTTTGTTTGTTTGTTTGTTTGTTTGTTCGTTTGTTGCTGGCAAGATGTTAACCGCTGAAGCATACTCGTCCAACTTGGAATCCAAACTTCTGGTTGCTGCTGCCAAAGTCGGCTGCAGCCACATCTATAATAGGGAGCAGCTCTGCAGAGGGGGAGTCAATCTCTAGAACAGTCCTGTCCTGACCTTTGCGGAACTGAAAGAGAAAAATTAAAGCCAGCTATTAGAATTTGCTCGGCTTAATTCAACTAACTAGCTCTCTCCACTCAGTCCCAAACCCCTATTCAAGTCAGTGATTTGATGAATCATGTACCAGTTGACAGGAGCAACACAACTGATAAACACATCAGTTTCATAAAGGCTAATTCCTGTTTGTCTAGCTAGTCCCTGCCCCTGGCATGTCACAGCACTGACCTGGCATCCATCATGCACTGCGTTGATGAAGGGGCTTTTGGCTTGCGTCAGCTCCTCATCATTGCTGCCCCTGAAACGGAGGGCACGCTGGTAGGAGCGGGAGGCGTTGTCAAACCAGCCCGCCGAGTTCTGGCAGGTGTAGGTGAAGCTCTGCTTGGCTGTGGCGCTCAGTAGTTTCAGGAAGGTCAGCTGAACGACATGCACAGGGTTCCCATCCCTGTCATTGTAGGAGAACTGGATGACACAAACACACAGACATTAGAGTGCGACAGAGGCAGAGAGTATGTACCCATTACCCTGAAATGACACGAGATCTCACTGAATGAGAGACTATATCAGAAACGTTTGGGTTCCCATCGTATTTCCGTCACATCTCCCCGTGTTTATGAAGAGATTTTTGTAAGCAAGATTGAAAAAGTTACAGCAACTTTTCTCCAGAATCAGAGAAGCCAGGTAAAGTGAAGCAGAAAGGAAAAGCAAGAAAATTAAAGGAAAAAAAAAAAAACATCTAAGCAAATCCAGGCACTGTGTGTGAGAAAGAAATCCAATGAATTGCAATTGTACTGGCAGCTCTGTGATTATCTGAGAGGGTTATGAGACCTCTGATCAGGTGCGCATGAAAAGCCAGTGCTCTAAGCGAGCTGCCCTGAATACTAGTCAGTGAGACAGAGCTGCCAATGACTTTGTGTGCGTCACTCCTGAAAACAACCGCTGGCAACACCAAAATCTGCTCTCTCATTGCACATAGACTAATGAAGTGATACCTAATTGTACACTGAGCAAACACAAACACAAACATTCACATGTAGTCACGTGCTCATGGGTGGATACACACAGACACACACATGCCTGCCAACACATCAGTGTCAATCACATGCAAGAATATCACTCGAACACTCTCAATTAGCCAGCTGAAAAAGACCGCCTGGTATTCCGGAGCCAGCTGAAATTAATAGTAGGAGGTGAGGTTTGATGTTTTTTTTGTTTTTTTTGTTTTTTGTTTGTACCTGCTTTCCTTTCCTGTACTGGCTGTACCAGCTTCCTGGCTTCTCTTTGTTCCACGCTGCTAATTTCACCTAGACACACAGAGGGAGGGAGAGAGAGGGAGGATGTTGTGTAAAAATTTTAGGCTCAAGGGATGTAAGGAGTTATTTGTGCTCTGATGCAGTGTGATGAGGTCGGCTTTGTAAAGGCTGACAGCGTGACATTGGAGACTTACCATCTCAATCCTCTTGTCAGGGTAGAGACAGGTCTCTCCATCAGCTGTGAAGTTACAGTACACCTTAATGGAGTCTCGGTTACAGCCCTGGTTAGGATCTATCCAGTAGTCTCCTACAAAGTGCACAAAGCAGACATCAATCAATCAAGTGCCAGATGTTAATATAACAAATTGATAAAGTGCAGCTGGCAAAATGACAAACAGCATCTTAATTAAAAAAAAGAATGTATGTTAAAGAATATGTTCATTTCTGACATGTGTCCAGTCGATGGTGAAATAGGCATCATATTATATTTTTGCTAACCATCTTTGTAATCAGGATGAACCATCATGAGCTCTTTGCAGGTCCGGGCAGGGCTCTCGAAGGTTCCCAAGGGCCTCCTCATCAACTCCACTTCAGTTTTCATAGAAGAGAGGGTAGCAAAGACTTCTTCCATTCCCTCAGCGTCCTCCAGAGGCTGATCTCCCTGGAGGAACTCCTCCATGTCCAGATCCACATCCTCCTCCCTGGCCGCGGCTGCTCCTCCTGCACGATCAGAGTGCCTCCGTCTCTTCCGCCTGCCCTCCCTGATGGGAAGGGGCTCAACCATTGTAGCAGGGGGTCCCTGGAGGAAGCACAGAGAGGTGAGCAAGAGGTGAAAGGGAAAAGAAAGGGCATGAAGCTGGCACTGAGAAAGCCATGATGTGGATCATTGGATGTACTCACGGGGGGTCCTGGGGGGCCAGCAGGGCCTGGATCTCCTCTGGGACCAACAACACCCTGTAGAATGGAGGAGGACAAAAGTTTGTGTCAATCATGTCTCACCTGGAGCCTCTCTCACACCACTTGGCTAAACCCCGGCTTTATCCAGGCAGATATGGCTGCTGCTTTATAGGATTATCCAGCTTTGTGCATCAGCACTCTGCGGTCAAAGCCTTGGCTCTCAAGACACACTATAGTGGTTTTCATAACATCACACACACCAGAACCAAATCCTATTAAAAGGGACCCGATGGAAAAATCACACACAAGGCAAGAGTAGCTGTACAGCAGGCTTTTAGTTGCAAAGACATGCAGTAAACACAGTAGAGCATTATGGTTATGAAGCGTGGTACATTTTAGCCAACAAACACACTTTTGCTCTCTTCCCCAGCATATGCTCCCAGCAGCTGTGAACCAAGCTGAGGCCTGAGCACAGGAGTGGCTATGTATAAATAAGACAGACTACTGGACTCACCGAATCTCCCTTCGATCCTTTCTGACCAGCTGCACCCTAACAGTGGAGAGGAGACGTAAGTAAACAATAAAAAACATAAATAAAAGTGTAAAAGTTATTAAAAGTTGGAAAATTGTGTAATCGCTCAAGTAAAAATAGTAATCAGCTATTCACTGGAAAATGAAGCGCCTGCTTAGCGACAGGACAGGTTATGGTCAAAGTCTGAACTCTCACGACTGAGTCATCAAAAATCAATAACAGGACTGAGATCAAAATCTTTCTATGATTTTTTAAATCAGTGAGTGACAGTATCTAAAAGCTTCATTACCGCTCTTGTGTTCTTCCCTTAACATTTGTTTTGCATCTGTTTGTTGTATACCTGCACAATCTTTATAAAAGACTAAAAGGTTGATGCCTGAGACAAATTACATTTACATCTGCACTGCCGAGATGCAGCAGACGATGGGTATAAACTTCATGCGGGCAGTTCAACAATTACAATTTCAAACTACTCTCCGGTTATATTTTTTTGGACATGCAGCTTTGACACAAATATACACATAATATCAGCAAATAACAGGTTTCATCACTCCACTGTGTTGAGAAGACAGATTCATTTTTCTTTTTATCATCTAAGATAGCAATAATTTTCTTCCATCGCTTACTTACCACTTTTAAGTATTTACTAAAAAATTCCTATAAAGTATCTGTATATTGTCACATCTTTTGTGTTGAACACTCAGCAAAATCAAAGAACTTAACATGTGTGGTGGCTGGAAACATAATCTCATAGAGCTGGATCATAGAAAAGCATATTTTTGTAACAGCTATGTCACTTACTGACAGTCCTGGTGGTCCTGGTGGGCCAGTGGGACCAGATGAGCCGACACCACCCTAGAAATGAGAACAAACATATCTTGCTGGTAAATTGGTAAAGGAATATTACTTCTACATATGTATTGGACACATCATGTTGCAACTATATGTACCGAATCTCCTTTAGGCCCCGGTGTACCCTGGTTCCCTGGCAGGCCTCTGTCTCCCTTCTCACCAGATTCTCCTGGGGGGCCAATTAGACCGATCAACCCACCATGTCCCTGCAGACAGACGTATGGTTCATTAGCATTGTTTCCCATGGTTTACACTGGTACACAGTGTTCTCTATATTAAAGGCTAAACACTTACTTTATCTCCCTTATTTCCAGGGTCTCCTTTTAATCCCGGAAGTCCTGGAGGCCCCTGTTAACGATGCCAGATGCATTAGTTGGTCACATCAATGCTATAGAGTCGGTATATGAAATCTGGTTTGGTTGTGTTGGGTTTGAATCCAGATTTATCATTATTAATGTCCCAAACCCCCTCTCATTTGCTAGGCTCCATTATCAGGCAAATATAAAGATCTTACTATTGGTCCTGGAGGTCCAGTTTGTCCTGGTGGCCCATTTAAACCTTGTTCACCCTGTAAAATAAGCAGAGGAAATGGAGATTACACTATGCCAAAACATTAATTAAACATAAACACAGAAAGGACCTCATATTGTTAAAAATCGGATGGTTGTCGTGGTGTACTAACCGCAGGACCTGGGATGCCTCGAAACCCCTCAGGGCCAGACCTTCCTGGGTGTCCTTGGGGCCCCACCGGGCCTGTCTTACCCACTGGACCCTGGGTTCCTGTTGTCCCCTACAGAGAAAAGGAAGAGCGACAGACAGGACAGCATTAAGAGCAAAATAGATCATAAAGATTTTGTTGAAAGGCGACATATTCAACCACTGAGTGCCAGTCCTCATCCTTACCTTGGCTCCCTTCATGCCTTGCTTCCCTTCTTTTCCTGCAGCACCTACATGACCCTGAGGTAGAGAAAGGCAATCTTGCTAAGATAATGACAAGAGCTATTAACTAAAGCAAATACACAGAGTTACATACACATGCATACAAACTTAAGCAATACACTAAGCTCACCCTCCGTCCAGGAGGTCCTGAAGGACCTGGCTCTCCGGAGGCTCCCGGGGGTCCCTGCAGGAGAAAAATGACTTAAACTAAAACAGCGACACCTTTTCATCCAGTCATAAAAACACTGAAAGCCCAGCCACATAAATGAAGACTTTACATTTCACTGTGTCAGAGGATAAAGACTTTACCTAAGCATACAAAAGATAATAATATTGCTAGTAAATTAATTAATAAAAAAAAGACACTGCTTACTGATTTGCCAGGTTCTCCATTGTCTCCCTTAGGCCCTGGTGCACCATCTACTCCCTAAATGAAGAAATGACATACAGGAGAAGTTATCAAAAAAGAAGTGAATGACAATTTCTACTAAATTAACCATAACAATAATGCTCACATTGACACCAGCTTCTCCAGGGGGTCCTGAATCTCCGGGGAATCCAATAGGGCCCTAGGGGTAAAAACATTATATGCATGACATTAACAGACTAACCTGACAATCAGAGCAAGAAAAAGTCACTGAACCAGAGAGTAAGACTCACAAGGTTGCCTTTGGGTCCGTCCTCGCCTGGTGTTCCTCTGGGTCCTGGAGGCCCAGCTGCACCAGGAGGGCCAGAGTCACCCTTCTCCCCCACATCGCCTTTAGCACCCTGGGACACAAGCAAATGAGATGACGATCATTGAAAGGGCAAGGAGAGTAAAGCAAAGAAGGGATAACTTTGAGTAAGGAAACCAGGAGTGAGGAATGGAGGTGATGCGACTCACAGCAGTGCCAAGCTCTCCAACTGATCCAGGGTCTCCAGCCTCACCGTCCTCACCCTGGTAGAGAGGGGACATTCAGTAAAGCCAAAAAACACCCCACACACATACACACACATATTGGCAGACAAGCCCATATTCATAAAACGCCAGCATTCTACTGTATGTGCACAGTCACACGTGGCGTAGTTGCTGATGGGAAATGCTAACCTTTTCTCCAACAAGTCCAGGCTGACCGACTCCACCAGGCATTCCAGGTGCACCCTGTGGCAGGAGGAGAGAGAGAACAGCTTGAACCAGAATATTATAAAAATGAGGGCAAGTTTTAAATATTCATTTGATTTCTTGAAAATCAAGTTCTTGGTGCAGTACTTATTTATTTATTTATTTATTTATTTATTTATTTTTCTGGTTTGTCAGCAGTTTTGCTAACAGAACGCTGAAACTGGAACATATTTATCACAACACAAGGATAAATAGTGTGTCAAGTTTGCAATGTGGATAGTGTCTGATTGAGGGAGGGGAAAATGGCCCCCTACTGTGTGACTCAGTTAGTTTGTTTGTTTGTGAGTGTGTATGTGTTTGTGCGTGTTAGCGTGCTCGCATGTCATGTCAGTGTATTGTGCTTTGTGCCTTGAGACTAACCCAGTAAAAGCATGTCTTCGGTAGAGTGTACAAACATGAGAGCTGAGTACAGCCAAGCACTACTACCGAGCTCCTGCTGTCAGCTACTTTCCTCACATGCCATCACCGGCACCCCCCACCCCCACGTTACTTTTTTTTCCTACTCTTCTCCACTTTTCCTGTATCAGTCCATTTATGGATCCCACCATCTCTGCACCGCTGCATTTCCATGCTTCCTGTGATGAAGCACTACCGTGGCTCACACAGCTTTCTGCAACTCGCTGCTGAATAATTGACTGGTATGAGAGGCTGCAGAGAGACGGCCATTACTAGAGGTAAATATAACTGCCTCTCAGGGATGATAGTCTAATACATCTTAATGATTCATAGAGCAGTAAATATAACTCTCTCCTAGGGATTATATCCTAATACTGTTTAATAATTCAAGTTTCAAATGCAGCGGAGGGTCTGTGGTAGGCCGTATATGTAGAAATGAGGGGCTGGAAAATATAATCATCTGTGGTGTGTGAGGATCAGCTACTGTTCAGTTTGAACTTGAGATATGACTGTGTCTTGAATGGGAGTCTTCTAGACTCAAAAGATGATTCATCATGTTTTCTTTATGACTCTTCAAAACACTTCAAAATATCGCTCCAATATGTGCACGGTGTATGTGGAATAAAGTCAGGTTAATACAAACCTTTTAATATACAAAAATGAAATAAGCAAAAATAATGATTTAGCCTTGATGATACTTGTGAAAAAGAACTAGAATAAACAATAAGAATTTTCAGACCTCAGTGACTTAAAAATGCAAGGCTATGAGGCTAAAATCTGATAGAAGTTATGAAAATGTATGCACATTTATTCATTATGATACAATCAATTATAATATTTGGTAATGCTTCGGTTATGCTAATTAGACCAAATTACCAAATGAACTAAACCATGCTGGTGCATCTATTGTTTCAATTAATTTAACACTTGTTGTGCAGTCTGTGTATGTTTCATTGAAATGCTTTTGCTAGAATTATGGTTTAGAGCAAGACGGAAAGGGATATTTACAGTTGTGTTACGAAGATGCACATGAACAGCTTGTTGATATAATCCGCAATAAAGCCTGAATTGTGCCCCTCAGTGTATAGAGTATTCTCCTCCCTCGATGAAGCTGTCTCCATCATATATCATGATAGTTATGCCCACATCTAAACCCAAATATGTGATAAAAAACAATGACACATAAAAAGTCTACCTCTCCACCAATGGGCCCCTGAGGGCCTCGTGGGCCGTGCTGTCCTGGAGGACCCTGTGGAGAGAGAGAAATGAAATGTTTTTATTAGGATCTCAGTGCAGACAAGAAGGATATACTGTATTAATAAAATACACAAAGAGATACAAACTGAATGTGAGCTAAGGGTTGGCTGGTGCCTCCTAAATTTAATGCGAGTTAGAAGTCAGCCCATGGTGGATTGCTTATGTAATGGCCCCAGTATCTATGATCATTATCGTAGTGACATGATGAAGACGTCCAGACAGGTCATTACCCTCAATATGACACAGGCTCTGATTCTTTCTCATTTTCCCACCTTCCCCCTCTCTCTTATTAATAAGAAAACCTCTAGTCTGTGATGTGCAAGACCATATTCTCTCAACCACAGTGACGGCGTGTGATTTGAGTCTTCTGTGCAGCTCAAGAGAGCGCCAAGCAATTAATCCTAACTGTGCTCGGCTTCAGTTTCAGTTGAGTAGATGTGGAGCTGTGCTCTGAATCACTCTGAAGTCTTGGAGGGAGCATTGTGTTGTAAAGACACTGAGACAGAAAGACAGACAATCTGCCCAGAGAGAGACTGTGTGGGACTAGAGGAAACACATATCCTTCTGGCGGAGAGATACTTGAGCATTAGAGGGGAGAATTTTGTGATCCGCAACGCTCACACATGAATGAAACTTCCCCACTGAGTCCACAGCATCTTTCTCTCTCTCCCTCTCTCTCTCTCTCTCTTCCTCTCCCTCTCTCTTTCTCTTTTGTTTTGGTTCCATTTTGATGCATTCCCTCCCTAATCTGACTGTGGAGAAGAGAGGCTATAGAGAATCTTGTTGAGCGTGTGTTCATGGTTGACAGCGTTGTGAGATGACTGTCACAAAGGAGGATGCTCATTAGACAGCCAAGGCTGAGGCTAATCTGATTAGCAGCTGTCACACCGTCTTCCTGCTCACAATCAGTGCCCCCACCTCTTCCTTCCACTCCATTGCTCCACTGCCTCCTTTCTGTCACTCTCTCTCTCTTTCTCTTTTTTTTTTTTCCTTTTCTTCACTCTTACACACAGGGCCACCTCTTCATTCTCTGGCCTTGTCTTTCTCAACACATGAAGTCATGGTCTATTTTGTCATTCACTCTCAGCCTTGAACATCTATCACGCAGTGAAAAGATCATTTGAGATTGTTATAGGTTGAAAGGTTTAACAGGTTTGAAGGTTTTTATTTCTCTTCATCATTATTGTGGATCTAATTTTTTTTTTAGCTAACAGAAAGATATAACCAGTGCTAACAGACAGAGGAACAGTGTTTTTTTCACCTGAGGCAGTTTTTTTTTTTCATAGCCAGAATAATAACACAGTATTTGATATACTCCATAGTAATATGGTTGATGAGTTAGCATAAAGTTAACTGCAAGCTAGCAGAGTTAATGTGGGATGTCCACTGCTTGTCTCACACATCACAAAGTGCAAGCATTGTTCAGCTGTCATTATGTGACACTGTATGAATGTACTATATGAATGATAACTTTATAGTTAGCCATAGCTGCATTAGATTTAGGTTTGCGATTCCAGGGCTTTCATATTTGTGCATGCTATCTTACTGGCTTGGCATACAATGATAATTATCGATAGCAGAACCATAATTAATGTTATCTGTGAAACCTGAGCATTGTTTTCTGTTATGACAAGTGAAATTTTCTTTGCTTTTAAAAATAATGCCTATCCTTAGCAAACCACAAAAGCTTCTTCAGTTTCTCAACAGGTGAGACTGTCAGTGTTGTCAAGGCCATTACAGTGGAAAAACACAGCTCTTAGTTCATACAGTCTGTGAGGAGAACAGACAAATTTCTCCATCTAAATGAATCTGTCTTCATTTTTTAGAAGACAGAATTAGATTGAGCTCAGTGGAAAACCATGGCTAAACATTATTAAGACAAATCAAGGAGCAGAGCAAACTGAGCTCCACTCAAGACCGCTGCCTGGAGTTTGAGGGCGGTAAACACACCTTTTCCTCTGATTATCTGCAGAGGAAAAGGTTCTTTCATGACCATGACCAACAGCAGCAGGATCAGCACAGCTGGTGCTAACAAACTAAATAAGTGGCACTAATTAAAGTTTAATGAGCTGTGGTGGGTTGTCTGTGTACCAGCTATAGTTCATAGGCTGCTGATATCTTGAACCTACACAATACTCTAATTATACAAAAAAAAATTCCTATAATTTATAATTCAAATTTAATATTCAAATTCATTATTAATTAGAAAAAGATTCATTTCCTCATCTTAATTAACTATGTATGAGATGTATTCTATAATACAATGGCATTGCTTTACTGTTTGGGAGTATTTTGGGCTGCATTATCTACCCAGCATTGTAATTACATCTATAGTAACATACTTGCTAATTGTTTTTCTAACGGGGCATCAACACTGATGTTTGATTTTTACAGTGAGTTACTCTTTGACTTTTACTTCATTATTCTGTATCTTAGTCTGTGCATCATCTTGTCTTTTTCAATCACAGGGGGTGGTATATGTTTGGTAGTTGGATAGAGCTGTCACATGCAGTTATGCATGAATAAAACTTGCACCTTGTGGCAACAATCAAAACACAAACTGGAGGAGGGGCAGGTGCTGAGCCAAAATACAAACTAACAATAAAACAACAACCAAACGGATCACACGCCGCAGGGATCCTATTATTACTTATTTATCATTAAAAAAAGACATTTCAAGCACCCCTGCACTTCATCAGACCACAACCAAAACACCAACATCTGGAATGCCACACCCACAATGACTATATATATCATTTTAGTGATGTCATAATAGAAGCCTGTCACTTTACAAACATAAAATAATGCCTCAGGAGTTTCCTAACCATAAACATCAATGTAGATTGACAGTATTTGTATCATAGCCCAAACCTTTCTACAAATGAATTTATTGTTTGTCTATTAATGAATGCATAGACGCTTGATCTTCATCAAGATCTGTGAAACTGCTTTTGATACTGAGGGGGAATGCAGAAAAGTGGATGAACTGGAGAAACATTCAAAGGTTTTTGGAAATTGTGGAAAAGTCAAGTCGATATCCAATATCAGACAAGACCAAGACAAGTCAAAGTCATAATAATCATGAAGCAAAGTGCAAGATGTCAGAAAGGTGGTGTTGAGAACAGACTTCAGACTGACACTGGACCATAGCCGCAGATTTGTGATGAGTGTTGTATGTGCGGTGATTGCTGAGCAGGACTCACCATTGAGCCAACATGCCCGCTCTCTCCCTTCTCCCCTGGTGGTCCTGGCATTCCCTGTGAATGCAGATATGGTGAGTGAGCAGTCTCAGACATGGCATGGAAACGGGTACAAACTGAAGAATACATGTCAAATCAGAGATGACCCCAGGAGATACAGTTAGCCTTGGATTTGATAGTAATTTTTACCTGTAGTCCAGAGGGACCAGATGCCCCCTTAAAGCCTCGATGTCCTTCATCTCCTTTTGCACCGTTCATGCCCTGCTGCCCACGAGGACCTGGCTCACCATCGGCACCCTGAAACATACATGCTCAGGTCAGCACTGTAAATACCTGTACAAACCAGACCAAATTATCATATGATAATGTGCTTTCATATGATGCATACTGGCAGTCCTGGCTGGCCCACAGGTCCTTGACTTCCAACAGGTCCTGGGGGTCCCTAGAAAAGCAGAGGGACAGTTCACTACACATTCACTGTAGGAAAGACGTGATTAAAACCATCTGCTCGTTCCACCAGAGAATGCACTGTGCAGCCAAAATTATTAGAATGAGCTACTCCAAACCAATTATAAGCCAGTCTGCCCTCTACCTCCCGGTGATGCAAAGTAATGATGTGACGTTAGGACATAAAATTCAGACTCACAGCTTCTCCTTTGTCTCCTTTGCTGCCCTTCTGTCCAGGTCCTCCTGTCTCTCCCTATGGAAACAAATGCATACATACACACACACACAAAAAAAAATGAGTCCAAAATCAGCAAGCACTCTTCAGCAGTGCTGCAGTCCATTCTAGTTGTGAGTGTAACTACCTTGTCTCCGTCCTCTCCTGGAGGCCCAGGAGGTCCTGCAGCCCCTGGCAGCCCTACAGGTCCCAGTTCCCCATCATGCCCAGCCGGCCCCACAGGCCCCTTTTCTCCCTAGGGAACAGATGGGAAAACAGCACACATCCAGCAAATACTAAAATACTTATTATCCTCATACAGCAGTATGACACTTTGATTAATGTATCGTACCAGGAACGAAACTCACACCCAAGAAAGCAGGCTTGATCACATTCATATTTCTCCCTCTGTATTGCTCTCTCTGTCTCTTTTACCTCTCTACTGTTCTCTGTCTCATGATGACACATTCCGAAGCGAGAGCAAATGTTGTTTATTACCCATTGGTGGGAGGTGATGGTACACTATGTGCTAGTGGACGTTGTTGCCTAAGAAATAAAATTAGCAATGTTCCAAATCTTACTGGCTCGCCTTTCTCTCCCATCGGCCCAGCAGGACCCACACCACCGGGCCGTCCTGGCTGCCCAATAGCACCAGCCGGCCCAGCGGGGCCTCTCTCTCCAGTAGCACCCTGGAAATAAGAGGAGACAGAGAGGTTAGGTGAGTATGTCACATGATTCACTCTTTGATTTAATGTGGTGGTCACGATCACTGATCACCATGGAAACAGCCTCCTGCTTCTTATGCCCTCGCATCCTATATTACATAGCAGCTGAACAGAGACCAAGGGATGGGATGGGAAGCAATTTAATAAAAACAGACTTACAATGGCTCCTGCAATGCCAGGTAGACCCTCTCCTCCCTTCAGACCTGCAGGACCCTGGAGAGACACAGATATAAACAGCCTTCAAAATCAGGTGACAACCTCATTCATTACAAGATGTATGATCAGTGAATGACAGTAGTTTACGATTGCTTTGGTTGAATTTTTTACAACAGACTTTCAGTTTGTGTAACTCTTATGTAATTGGCATGTTTTTATGGTTTTAAATTTGATTTATGATCTAATTATCATCTGCACATTTCAGGAGAATCTGAAGCAGACAGTGAAAGAAGGTGAGGATTTGAGATCTGTGTAATCTTGTATCACCATTGCACCAGGGGTCCCTCTGCTCCCTCTGAAGCCTTGGAGCCCAGCAGGGCCACTTTTCCCAGAGGCTCCTGGTGGACCTGGGTCTCCCTGGTAACCACACATACACACACATGTGATTAGATATAAGGCAAGTAGCCAGCAGACAGCAGGCCCTTATGCGTTCATAAATCACAGCAACCAGCAAGTCACACCAAGAAGGAACATTTATCTTTTATGAGCTATAATACACTCAACGCAGCAAGGTTTCCTCTCTTATTTATTAGCAAATTAGAGGATAGGATGAGACCGACGAGATAAGATATTCAGGCAGTGCTGAGAGAGTCCTTGGGTTTTATCTAATATAACAATAATAAGGTGATGCTGGTAAGTGATTATGATCCTGACATTATGATGAAAACCACTCACCTTGGCGCCCTCCTTTCCGGCAGATCCCGGTAAACCATGCTCACCCGGTGGTCCTGGTGAACCTGGGTGGCCTCTGTCTCCAGTTGGCCCTGTCTCACCAGATTTGCCCTGGAGACAATCAAAGTAGACAACAAACATCACAATACAGTTATTTAAAAAAAAAATGCTATCTGAAATAAACAGCTGTTTGTTTTAGAATCAACCAATATACCATGGGCTGATCCTCTTACCTGTGGTCCAACGACACCTGGGGGGCCAGGGAGTCCGTTCTTGCCTTGGAAGCCCTGAAGAATAAGAACAAGTGAATCTGATGACTCACAGTCAAGAGATGAAACAGGGGAAGTAGAAAGAATCTGAGGACTGCGGGCAGGGCAGGACAGGGTGTTGTGCACTCTGAACTTCAATAATTCAATGCTGAAGTCATAAATTTTGACTTCTTTGCTGTGTTAACACATATAGTAGGTCATGCCGACTCTAAGTTAATGCTGGGGTGTGCACCTCATAGAGGAAGATGCTATATACTAAATATGTAGCTTTACTGAGAGTGAAGGCTACTCACTGGTTCCCCTCTCTGGCCTGGGTGACCTGGTAACCCATCTTTTCCAGGTGGTCCCTAAAAAAGGAGGCATTTTTTTTTTTACATCATTGTAATAAAGTGAACATGAACAAAAGTGAGCATAAATGTGGAATGAGGTAAAACATGAAATCACAGGGCAAACACTATTCAGTAGATGTTAGCCCACTCACATTAGGCCCTCTAGGTCCTGGTTCACCGTTCCTTCCCTGTGGTCCTTGAGGACCCTAGAAAATAATAACACAGATTATCAAAACTCTGACCCAAACCCCAGATCGTATTTTCTGATGCTTGTCCTACAATGATTTATGAGACTGTATCTGTGATACCAAGATTGTTTTTCAGACTGTCTATGGTCTTGTGTGTGCACTGTATATGCAGTATTATCTGAGAGTCAAAAGATTACCTGTTCTCCAGGGGATCCCTGAGGACCATCTTGTCCAGCCGAACCCTACCAGGTGGACAAGGCAGATGACAAATAAAAACAGTTTCACTATGAAAACATGAGCCATTCAACCATTTTTAGCTTTCTGCTCGACAACAAATCTTTAAGTTTTCCCAAGACAGTCTTCGAGGGTGAGAGTGTAAACTGAAGCCTCCCCTGCCAGACAGAGAATTCTCTCTGCACCAGATGGCCTGTCATCCAGAAGTGAAACAACCAGTTCCAACCTGGTCGGCGCATTTATTAATACTTAATGAGAAAGCCAGGTGTTTGTTTATGTATGTGTAACTGTATGTGCATGTGTGCTTGTTTATGTCGGAGCGTGTGTCTGTGTGTCAGTCTGACCTCACCTTTTCTCCAGGCTTTCCACTGGGCCCATTCGCTCCCCTTCCCCCCCGGGCTCCCTATTAGAAGACAAACAATCGTCTGATTAGCACACGTAGGTGGAAGATAGACGCCCGGTGATGTGGAAACACTGCAGTGATGTAACAGTGTGTCTCACTCCCACAAGTTGTGCTAAAGTGATGGTTTCTAATTAGAGAAAATGCAGCTTTAAACGGTGAGAAAAATATGGTGCATAGGCATAACACCTGTACTGCGGATGTACTCACATTAGGACCTCTTTGGCCCCCAGACCCTGGCTGACCAGCTGGACCCTGCATTGTAGAGGTTAACAGTTATTTATCACTCTTTTTTTTTTTTTTTTTTACAATAGAGAAAAGTTTACATATTAAGAAGTCAGCAAGTGTTGTGGATTAAAATGTCAGTACAGTCCTCACCCTTCGTCCTTTCTCTCCTGAGGCCCCCGCCATACCAGGGAAGCCAAGCGATCCCTGGAGACACACATAGAGGTTAATCAGCCTCAGCCTTCCATTCATCACACATCACCCCCAATGTCTCATTAACGTATAATTAACTACTGTATCAAATTAAAGCAAATCTAATCCATGAGCCCAACACAGCCTTAAATACACCATTCATCAACATGTAATGAATTGATGTCACTAATGAACTATTAATAAAATAGCCTTTTTTTAATAAGCCATTTGTCATCCTTTATTTTTAATCAGACAGGAAACAGTCCAGTCAAAGACACACATCTCGCTGGTTAAAGCTCTGATAAAGGAACCAGAGGACACATTCACTGATCATGAAAGCTCATCACTGCTAAATCACCTTAGAACCTTGTCTTCCTGGGTATCCTGGCAATCCAGGCACACCGAGTTTACCCTACAGAGAGAGCGGGAGAATGAGAGGGGAGGAAGAAATAAACCGGAGAAATGTCAAATAAAGATAAAAAAGTGCATGAAAACCATTTAATTAAGATTTTTATGACATACTGCTAACTATGCATGTACCAATTCAGCAGGATATCTCTACGTTAATGCATATAGTCATGACAGAAAGATTAAATGCTTAAACAGGCGCACTGGTTCAGTGGCAGTTTTGCTTTATGAAGATGTCATAAATGTGGTTGCATTAAAATCCATATGTTCAGTATTTCAGTGATTTTCAGACACTCGTTTTATAAGGTATTTTTGTCACGATTGAAAACTGAGCTAAGGAAATGTAACTGTACTACCTCACACTATAATGGATGAAGCAGGTTTAGATAAGATTTTTCTTAGAATTTGCAGCCTACTTAATCTCCCTATCCCCCTCTCTCGTGACCTTGTCTTGCAATGTAAATGTAATCTTTAAAAAATTTACCTTCTCGCCAGCGATCCCAGCAGTTCCAAGATCTCCCATGGGTCCTGATTGGCCCTTTGCCCCCTCCGGTCCATCCTCTCCACGAGCACCCGGAGCTCCATTATCACCCTGAAGTCAAGAATGAGAGCAGAAGGGAAGTGATGGTTTTACCTCCATTCTGATGGAGAATAACTGAGAGGAAATTATACTGAGGTGATTAGAGTCCGCTCTCACCCTGTCTCCCTTGATGCCCATGTCACCTTTGAACCCAGGGAAGCCATCTTCTCCCTGTGATGCATTGAGGAGAGGTGATGTCTAGTGAAATTCTCTATAATCATAAATGGCACCACTGTATTTCATCACGTGTCCTTCCTCTTAAGTCAGTTTGACAAACAGCAGAAGAAAGGCTCGCTAGCTTTTTTTTTCACTCACCTTCTCTCCTTTGCTCCCCTTTAGACCCCTAACTCCATCTGCCCCCTGTGAAAAAGTGGGAAAAATAACACTTCATTTAACAAGAATCCAACATCACTGACACTGACGAGCCCACGAACAAGAAAAGACGCTGGAAATCGAAGGTTCCCTGTATTTCAAGTAATACCTCATCTTAAAACACTGAAATGATTAATAGGTGTGTATTGATTTTCTCTTGACCTAAGTTATTGAGCAGTTTCTGACCTTACACATGATTGCCAACAAGGTCAGGCTTCAACTAAAACTATGTGACAAATGGAAACGCCAAACAGAAATGCCACATCACAACTTCACTTTTATTTCTCAATTTCAAAAGCACACTCAGTCAAAATGGACTGCACTCCGCTCCTAATGCACACAGCTCCACTCTATCTGACTCTGATGTTTCTCCTCCCCGTCAAATGTTCCTCGCTGTGTTGTTAGCAGTCCCCTTGAGAACCGTGGTGCTTTCCCTCCACCTGTCACCCATCAGTCATAGACTCAAACAAGCTTGTCCGTCACAGGCAGACACGTACACGCAGAGCGAATTGCGCGAGGGGAATATATATCTAAGTGGACATTACACCTGAGATCATGATGCATTTATGTCTCACCTTGACTCCGCGGGTCCCTGGGTACCCGACAGGCCCCTGAGCTCCTAGTAAACCCTGCATGAAAGCACAAACAACAGCATTCTTCACTTTTAGCAACCAACAGCCAGCAGCAATATATTTCTCTGTCCAGATATGACTGAGCGAGGCACTCAGTCACTGTGTCATATCCTTAATTGTCAAGAGAAGAAAAAAAAAGAAAGAAAGAAAGAAACAGAAAAGGCGGATGATACTGATGAGTTCATGCTGCTGACTTTAATGGGCCGCTGATCTTGTACAATAAAGATGATGACATCGTAGGAACACAGTGATTATAATGATGAGAGAGAGAGCCTTATTGTAACCCAACGTGAGTGAGTGCACAGTTACAACAGATTGCAAGAAAAAACATGAAACTGCATTTTAATATCTTGCTATGGCACTACAAAAGACGAGCCTCAGACATTCAGTTACCCACTTGAATTCCTTTCTCTCCCGGGGGGCCCTCTCTTCCTGGGTGACCCTGAAGCAAAAAAACATGAATCAAATTGACTTAGCTGCGCTGCAAATAAATCATTATTGTATCGCTCCTTGACTGAAATTCCTCAATGCGCCCGACCAATGACAAAGAGGAAACCCCCGGTGGCATTGAGAGCGAGGCACCATAAAAATATCATTGTGTGTCATAAAGCTTCGCAGAACAATACAAGAAGCATTAAGTGAAGCTCATTCAAATTTGTCTGACTGCAATCTGAAATTAATTATTGGAGATGAGAAAAGCTAGAAGAAGATTTTTCTTTTTTTTTTTTCTTTTTAACTGTCATTCTGCTTTGGATCACTTCCAGAAATGACTCCTGTGCTCCCCAAGTGGCAGACAACAGAAAATATAAGTTGGCAAATTTTATCCTCTTGGCTACTCTATATTAACCAGCTCCTGGGGTTGTATATGTGTTCATATAAACATGTGTTTACATACACAGTTTGTTTGGTTGTATTTCTTGTTTGTATAGAATCATGTGATGGGCTTTTATTGTGACATTTCTGTACTGGATGTACAGCTGCACACCCCGGTCGTCTGGGTCTTGTCCTCTTGTCGTCCTAATATGGTAGCCCTAAGCTTTTGCTTGTATATGGTGATGTATGTACGCATGTTTCACCTATTTTGTCAAAAAACATTTGAATGATGCAGCTGAGTTGTCATTTGCATTCAGTGGGACTCTCTATGTATAAATACGGTTGGGTCCAAAAGTTTTTAAATACTGGATGTGCAAAGGTACTGTTTGTATTGATGCATGAATGTGAATGTATTTTTGTGCTGATGTATGCATATATGTACTTGCGTGTCTGTGTCTGTGTGAACTTACAGGCGGGCCATCAATGCCTGGTAGTCCCTGCATGCCTTGTTTCCCCTGGGGACCCTGTATAGGACAGAGACAGGTATGAATACTGCAGCAGAGCTTCAGATATGACAGAACACCTCAACTCATCCCTAAGAGACCCCATTTGCCACGTTGCTGCTCCTCTACCAAACATATTGTATTTATGACTAAGTGCAGTTTTTTATTTTGCTCTCCAGTCTTGCCTCATGAAGTGCACCAGTCAAGGCCGGCTCTAGTGTCTGGTAAGCCTGTCTGTGTGTGTGTGTGTCTGTGTGTGTGTCTGTGTCTGTGTGTGCTTCTTGTGTATTGATTTGCTGTCTAGCCTTATCTTGTCTAAATGGGAGCCAGAAGTGGCTGGGTTGTACTGTCCTGCTCAGCCTGCATCCCTTGGGTATGTGATGACAGAGGTCACAAAGTCACAGCTTTAATTCTGAAATTAAGTGAGAGACATGTTACCTACCTTCTCCCCTGGCAGTCCAATGGGACCCTGAGGACCAAGCAAGCCCTGGACCAGAACAAAGCATCAATCAGGTTAAGTGTCACAAGACTAGGAGAAGGCTGGGCGTTGAGGTTTTGCTTGTGTGTGTGTACGTATGTGTGTGGATGTGGTGTATGTGTGTATGTAAGGGCAGTATGTGTGGATGTCCTTGTGTGAACTGGCAGTTTGGATTAGATTGCTGACATGCTGGAAAGCTGAAAATATGATTAACTCTCCTTTGCTTGACTGTACCTGTACTCCTGGATTTCCCTGTTGACCCGGCGGCCCTATCTCTCCAGCTGGACCCTGAGAACAAGAACAAGAAACACTGGTGGTCACACACTTCACATGACCTTTGTCGTAAGCTCTTCGTCACATGGCTGGTGAACAGGTTCATTAGTAGGCCAGACTAATCCACTCCAGCTGATGTGTCAGTGAGATCACTTTCAAAGAAAAGTTACACATACTCATTTTCACTGAAAACTATAACATACATATATTACAGTCATCAGTTGTAAATAATGGCATTTATGGGGATGAGATCATTTGATGATGAAGGTACCAGGACTAACCAGATTGCCCTTTGACCCCTGCACGCCATCAGTTCCACTAATACCCTGAAAAAAAGAAAACACACACAAACAAGATGTTAGAAAATCCTGGATGAAATGTCAGAGTTGGATCCAGACAGTTCAATAGCTTCCCGGTTTATCTTCAGTGGCATATTGATGATTCCATGCACTAGGGGGCCTTTTATAGAGTTGAAGAGACTGAATAGCTCTGATCTTGTAATCAAGGCGATGTTGACTTACCGGTTGGCCAGGTGGGCCAGGTGGCCCCCTTGGCCCAACAAGACCCCGAGAACCCTGGAGACAAAACACAGCAAATAGTCAGCAGCTAACCTGCATACATGATGAGCTGGAGTGAGTGTGGAATACTAAATCATACATCAGAAGTAAAGAGACAGAGAGAGAGTGAAACACAGAGAGGGACAGATAATATATTGTAGCGTGTGTGTGTGTGTGTGTGTGTGTGTGTGTGTGTGTGTGTGTGTGTGTGTGTGTGTGTGTGTGTGTGTGTATACGCATCTGGTTTTGTATGTGTTAGCCACAGAGACTGTGCTAGTCTGTGCTTGCGCGAATGTGTTTGTGTGCTCTGTTTTTGTCAGCCTCCCTCTTTGTAGGCTGGCCAAGCCACCTGTTCCAAAGCCACATCTGTGATCTCCTGGGAAGTGATTGATATGGAAATATAATCATTCAGGCCAGGATTTTATCTCTTCCCTCTCCGAATCTCCCTCTTTCCTCTTTCCTGTCTCCATCTCTCTTATCTCATCCACCACCAACCAAATTTCTGTCTTGAGTTTGTCTCTCGCTGTCTCACTTTTCCCATCGCTGCCTCTCTCTCATCAAAACAACCAACTCGCCTCCTTTCCTGTGTCTTTGTAGTTTAACACAGCTTCCCTAACATGTCTTATGGCGCTCTATTTCTTCCTGCACTGAGTGATCCATTTGGTGGGACAGAGCCCTGCTGAGCCCCAGCCTCACCGACTGGGAGAAAGATACAGTGTGAGTCATAACCAATCAACCGGTGTGCGCCGCAAAGATACACAGAAAGAAAATGACAGGTTCTTCAGCGGTGCTCTTAAAATCTTTGTGGTCTCTCAATGATCCAAAGTTACTGTGCAGGTAAAATCTCTGTGACAGAATGTGAATATACTAGCATGCTCTGCCAGTGTATATTTTTGTTTTCAAGCTGTATGCCTGTTTCCGGTGGCCTTTTCTCTCCTAATGCTTGGCTGAACACCCTGGCGGTATTGCATTAATAAGGTTTGACTGCCCAACTTTTTCATTGTTGTTCTATTGTACACAATTTCTATAAGTTCTTCTGTAAGATTTTGACTAAAAGTTCTGCTGAAGCTTAACCCTGCTTAATCTTTGCAGTGGAAATCACTTGTTCCTGTGATTCTGCACTACTGAAAATGTGTATTTCTGAGAACTCAATAGATGCATCTTCTCCTTTAAGTATTTTTAATGTAGAGAAACAATACCCATGACATATCTTAATGTAGAGGTGTGTTGTGAAGTTGGTATCTATGAGGGAACATTATATTCTCCCAGATGTGGTTACTTACAGGTTCACCTGGCTGCCCTCTTGGCCCCACAGGTCCATCAGATCCCTAGAGTAACAAAGAAGGAAACAAATTCAACACATAAATCTCATACACCTCTCTGAGTCAACCCCAGGCGTGGATAAATTTATATCCCACAGACATAATCTGTGAAAATAGCTCATTAAAGAAATTCACTGCCTGACAGATAAGGCTCAACTATCTTCCAGCAAAGACTAATAGATCGCTCACTCAAACTTCACCCGCCCTCCTGTGTGGCTAGATACCATCTTGACTGAGCTTCTATCTTTCATATTTTCAATTCAATGTCAGGGATGCACTGCCTAGCTTTCATTTCTTTTGCAAGCCCTGATACTGAATTAACTCAGGCCAGCATAGCCAAATTAAAAATTCAGAAGTTTATGACTTTATTTGAGCGAAGCCTGCTTTGATCTGTGGTGCTTTACCATCTAAATGGTTTGTAGAATTGATTCGTTCATCTGGAAAGGATTCCCCTTTTAACCTTGCGTGATGGAAAAATGAGGCAAAACAAAGCACTGCTGCAGGGTGTGTTTTCCAGGCTTTCTTTGTTACAAGTAAATTTTAGAAGGTACTGTGCACTCACCTTTTCTCCTGGCTCTCCAACAGGCCCATGAGGACCAGGCTTTCCTCTGTCCCCCTACAAGATAAAAGCATTAGCCGCAAGCCTCAAGATATTTAGGACTGTTCTGTTTATAGCAGAGCAACATCAAGCAGATGATTTTTAGTGTACACTGTCATCACAGAAATCACAACGATCATCATGATCATAATATGCAAATAAACATCTGCTATATGGTGTGTGAGGTATTCATGCGTGCCGCAATAGCGCGCTGGTATCTGAAGGACTAAATAAATACAGTGACAATGTCAAGTTACCAAATCGAACTTACTCTGTGTCCCTTGTTTCCTGGGAGACCTGGCAGGCCGTCAAAGCCCCTGTCACCCTGAGAAGTAATAGAGGCATTAAACCCTGAAACACGCACACATACGATAATGTGTAAACATTAGCAGAATTGTACTGAAAGTCTCCCCTGGCAGAGCCTCCCATCTGCTCTGAGTGTGTGTCGGCGAGAGGAAGCTTTCAGATTAGCTGTAGGTCTGCTAAAATGCTGCTTTGACTGATAAAGACTCTGCTGTTCTGTCAGACCGGCATCAGGGGAGCCTGATTTATTTACTAAGCTCTTCCTGCAGCTGTTAGGTATTGAGTTGCCTCATTGTCAATACATATAATAAGCTGTGGGCTGCTTGATACCTAAAGGCTTACACTTGCGAGTGGAGATAGTTTGTTATCATGCAAGACCTTGCTGCCTAAACATGCGTGATATTGCTGAGTTCATGGAAATGAGAAAATGGATTCATGGAAACTCAACACCAACATCAGTTATATATATAGTTATAGTTATATATAGAGTTATATGGTCTGACAGCTGGCAATGTAGCTTTCACACAAATATCAAAACAAACTAGTATCCAAAAATATGCAGTAAGGATGTAAACATAAAATCGGTGGGTTCTTGGTGCAGCTCATTTAGATGAGATTATCACTACTGCAATGCAGTGCAGTGAGATCTCAAAATGCTTACCTTAGAGCCTGTTTCACCTGGAGCTCCACGACCTCCGTCCACTCCCGCACGCCCCTACGAGATGCACAGTCCCGTTAAAACAGGATGTTGTTTTACAGTACATCAGGCGCAGTATGCTTTTAACGTGACACGTGCAGATACAGAGGTTTTCAGCGTTGACACCTGCAATACTCAAGCTATCTCACCCTTTTTCCTAGCTTTCCATTAATTCCGGGAGGGCCCGGCAAACCACGTGGTCCCTGTGTGAGAGAGGAAGAGAGCAAAACAAATGGGAAAAGGTGTAATAGGGAAAGCACAAGGACAAAAGGAAATCAATAGTGGAACAAAGAAAAAGAGTGGTATGAAGGAAGTTAGCAGTGAGGTGGAAATAATGCCCTGACTTACAGGATGGCCACTGTCTCCGCTGTCTCCTTTGAGCCCAGTGGGACCTGGAAAACCCTGCAAAAATAAAAACAAAAGGTCATTAACGCAAACATAATTTACAGGGGCGGGGAAATTCCACTCCACTAAAATTTAGCGCCAAAAAAAGAAAACATGCAGACGAGCTAAGAGCTAACAAATCATCGTAAAAATCTGTTCATTTTTTGCAACTGTACAGTGATTTTTTTTTTTTTTATATATATAAATGAGGGTAGATTCCACAAGAGAGTGGAACATACTGAGCATGCATAATGATGAGGTTAGAGTGGGGAGAGAGTAGAGCTTGTGCCTGGTCAGCCAGAATGTGAAGCTGAGGTTAAAGGTTGCAACAGCCCTTGAGGTATGATGCAAATTTGGTCAAGGACAGAGGAGTGCCTTACCAGTGGGCCTGGTCGCCCTGTGAGACCCATTGGACCTGGAGGTCCCTTCAGTGACAGCTGGAAGAAAAGCAAAACCGGGTGGTTTATTTATGCTGCACATGGTTTGCTTTGGTCTTTAATATGCAATGAAATGGCCTTCGGAGAGCGTATAATGCAATTGTCAACAGTCACTATGTTATAATATTGCAACAAAGTGCAGGTTTCTGTGACGTGTACCTTGGTCTGTTGCAGGATAGCTTGTGCCTGTGCCTCCTGGGGAGACACCACTGGTCCCTTCTGGGAATCACCTCCATACTGGAACTGGGGGCAATGAGAGGGAGGAGTCATCCCCATTGCAGGATTTCCCAAATGTAATGAAGTTCAATCACACAGCCCCCCCTTGTGGTCATGCCACTACACCGCACTGGGAAAAAGGTGAGTTATCTGAGTGTTTGTGTGTGCATGAGCATGCATGAGTGTGCTTTAAGGTCTTACTGGTAGCATCAACAGGGTTCCTGGAGGACCTGGAATTCCATCAGCCCCAGCAAGACCGGGACGTCCTGGGGGACCCTGAAAAGAGAGGACAAGTAAAGGAATAAGCATTGACTAGTGTGTGTGTGTGTGTGTGTGTGTGTGTGTGTTTGTGTGTTTGTGCGTGCGTGTGTGTGAGAGAGAGAAAGAGATAGGGAGAGAGAGTGTCTAAACGGAGAGAAAAACAATGAGTGCAATCTAATCACTGTAAAAACAACCTTTACTCTATTTCCACAGGGTGTGTCATACACACACACACACACACACACACACACACACACACACCTTATCTTGTTTTTACATATTGTAAATGACCATTTTGACATGACATTTAATGTAGCACTGAGTCATAAAGATTGTGTGAATCAGATTAGTGTCTAACAGGTATTCAAATTGGTCCTTTTGTGCAACAACTGACCACTCTCTCATTCACTACCCCCTCTGAAGCGTTTGGACAATACGTTACTGCAGGAAGTAGTAATATATATTGCTGTCACAGTGGCGAGAAAAATGTAATTAACAAAGGAAGACAGACTGGTCGGTCAGGGGTTCATCCTACAATGAAACAATAGCTTGAAATTTTTTAGAGGAAAAGAACATGACAGTGGCTCCAGATGATGGGATCGCCAGCACAGTCTCCAGACTCTCTAGATGATGAACTGGACAGATGGTGAAAGCAAAGCAACACACATTTGTGTGAACTTCTGCAACAGAGCCGAGACAAAGTTTCTGAGCAATATTTGTTTTCCATTGTAGAAAGTGCGCCACAAGTGTTTTTGGTTGTAGAATGAGTCAAATAAAAAGATTCTATGCTTCCTTAAAAACCAGTAGTCTCAAAGGTTTATACACAGTATAGACCTTAATTTCAGCCCTGTACTTCAGGATAAAATTTGATAATTATTTTTGGTTACTCTTTTTAATGCAATGGCTAATTATTTGTAAATATATCCAATTTGTTCATCCGGTACTCACTCATTGATTTCAGCTATATTCACCACTGTTGCATCTCTTTTGATTTCATCTTCAATAAAATAAAATATAAATAAAATAAGATAAAATAGGTTTATTGATTTGTTATGTAGGCTGAACATGAACTCTAAATAGCTCCTGAACACGTGTAAAGCTTGCAAGCCATGGGGATCTGCATGGTAATAAACTGCCATCATCAGCTTTGCAAAGCAAAATGATAAAGACCATCAAACTAGTGGGAAATGACAGAGCATCTGTGAGTGTGTGTGTGTGTGTGTGTTTGTGTGAAAGAGTGTGTGTGTGAGAGTGTGTGTTGGAGTGTGTTCCATTGTGATGAATCACTTATCCAAGCAATCAGACACACAAAATAAGAAAATCAGGTCAAACATGTGTGAGTCAACATCCGTCCCCAAAGTCCAGCAGGTTCGGTTCAGTGAACGAGGACATCGTGATCCCATGGACATGTTTCAGACTGACCCGAATCTCTGTCCCTCAAGTGAAAGGGTCAAACTGAGGTCAACTGGACGTTAAGCCATTCAGTCCACACCCTAAGCCACACTCACCAATTCACCAGGATCTCCCCTGGGTCCTGGAGGACCTGTTGGTCCAGCTGGGCCAGTGAGCCCCTGTGAAGGACACATTTACAGCACTCAAACAAACATTGAAGAGCTTCACCATACTGTAGCTTATAATTAAATGAGTATCTTCCTCTATGTCAGACTCAGACCCTGCAAATGCTAGACAAGATTTGTTTATGTAGTTTTGAGTGAAAATCTTTTTTTTACTTCTTTGTGATGGTCTACTTTTAGTTGTTGTATGGAAATACATAAAACCACCAACCAACAATATCTCAAAAAGCAGTCTTTCACAAAGTGTCATTTGGCATGGCAACATTTTGTAGTGCATGTGTCTCTCTTTTTGGTGTGAAACCCTGTTTCCTTTTAATGAAAACACCACAGTTGCGTTCCTGATGGCTACAATCCAAAATTCTTAACATTTCGCACCACATCTGGACGGTCACATTATGGCACATCCTGTATAATTATGGCGACGGCAGTCATCATTTCCATTTTCTCCTGTTTTCAGGCAGAAAATAGGCTTACCTCTGGCCCTGGTAGACCTGGGGGTCCCACCGCCAATGAACCCTAGAAACAAGCACAGATAGAATGCAATGTACATTAGGAGAGTGTGAACCGATTCTCATGCTCATAACTAAAGCTACTTGACTATTCATGAAATGCCTCTAGGAGCTCACCGGCTCAATAATAGCTGGCTCTCCCTTCTGGCCTTTCTCTGCTCTGAGGCTACCCTGAGGTGGGGAAACAGATGAATAGATGTGGATTGTTAGAAATCAGTCAACAAAGGCAATTGAAGACATGACCACTCACTTGATGAGTTCACTATGAGAATTTACCTGTCCGTCCCACGTCTCTGCTCTCTCCCGCTCCGCAAATTCAAAGCCGTCCTCGTATGCTTCATACTCCTCGTACTCTGTGTCATTCTTGAAATCTTCGTATTCAAGAAGCTGTTAAAGGATGAAGAACTCCATTAGCGACGGGTACTATAAATGCCTCGGTGAGGACACTTACTGTATTTGCATTTAACCTACCTCATATTCAGTAACATTTGGGCCCGCTGTTACCGTGGAAACTGAGAGATCATCATAGAGGTCTCTGTAAAGGTCATCTCCATACTCTTCCACCAATGGCTTCTTTACGGGCTTGTCCTCCTGGAAGCCAACACACACACACACACACGCACACGCACACATGCACGCACGCACGCGCACACACACACACACGTTTGAATGAGTCATAGAAAAGATGGACCAGGGCAGACCAAGCAGTTCTCATTAGCGCATAGTGCCTCCGAGTGAAGGCGTATTTTGTGTGTTATGAATGTTAGCGAACAGGTGGATTTCATAGCAGTGTGTTGGTTATCCAGAATACGGGTCGACAGGTGTGCAGTTAATTACAGTGCTGGAGTGTAATTAGCTGATGGACGACATCAGATTCATGTCGCAGCATGGCAGAGACTGCAACAGCTACAGAAACAGCATGAGCATGAAAAATGAGTTTACTTGGCAAATTAGCAAAAGTAAACATGAAGGAGACATTACAGAAGCATCTCTTGTTTGTTGCTGTGTCAAGTTAAAAATTGATTGAAATTTAAAAAAACAAAAAGAAGGCTGCACAGTTGTGGTGGGATATTCAAAATAATGTGCAGTTTGATTTAAACAGTTTATATGGTATCTGAGCACAATGTTCACCTTGAACCAAATATTCATTCTGTAAGTCCACATACTGTACATGAAAACATAAACTGTATAAAACATGCATACCATGTTTTTTTGAAAAGTAGTATGCATGTACTAGTGCATGTTCTGCAAAAAAAAAAAAAAATACACACACACAGCCAGAAGGCTGAGTGAGATAAAGAATTTCTCATTTAAGATGCATTCACCACGTTTTCTGCTAGGGATGTAGAGGATGTGATGATTAGGATGGTGCTGGTTAGTGGTGGTGGTGGTGGTGGAAAGCAACTGTAGAAGGAAGAGGTGCTCACTATTGTTAGGAGGTATTAGGGGAGTGATCGGTTAGAACTGGAAATGGCAGGAGGGGTGAGGTTGGAGGGCATCTACAGGCAAACTTGTCTACCTCCTCAGTTACCACTGATTCAGGCACTGCAGTGGGCACCGCGGCGGGTGCCTCGGTTGTGGAGTCAGGTTCGTGTGTGGGCATCTCCACGAGGGTCTTGTCGAAGACTTCAGTGGGAATGACAGTTTCTCGGGTGTTCTTAATTTCTGGCAGCACTGTGGTCACAAAAGGTTCTTGGGATAGATACTCAGGCAGTGTTGTGGACACTGTGAGGAAGCCGTCCTCAAGACCCTCCTCCTGATGCTTTTTCTTTCTGGATCCCTTCTTGCCCTTCCCTTTGCGCTTGCCTTTCGAGCCCTTGTCTCTCTTCTTTTTGTTCTTTTTGCCCTTCCTGTCCTTTTTGGAGACCTCCTTTGGTTCTTCTGGCTGGTCACTTTGCATCAAGGCATCAGACCCAAGTTGGGAGTTCTTTTATGAAAAAGGGGAACGCAAGATGAGACAAACACTGCTGTGAATGAAAAAACAATGGCAGAAATAGCCTGCAACAGGAAAGTAAAGCAATTCATATATGACCTGTGACACCTTTAAAAAGTAAGACACCTACTGTGATTTCCACTGGTAAAAACCTAAAAGCAAACATGAAATGAGAAGGAACAAACACATGTAAAGTTGTTTCCTCTTAGTCAAAGCAGAAGACATATTTGTTTGGGAGGTCAGAGGTCACCCTGTCAATGATCCTATAGAGGTGCTAAGTGTTGCAAATTCTTGCTCTGGCAAGTGAGTAAATATGGCTTGTGTCGTCCTCCAGAGTGATGTCCATTACATGTCAATAATATGAATGGCCTCTGCCTGAAAACACCGCTGAAGGCCAAGTCTGTGAAAAACACCAATGACGTGATTTAGATCCACTTGTAAACGAGGTCTTTGACTAAGGGAGGACGATGGGAAGTAGGTCAGTGGGGTGACAGATGTTGACATGTTCTGGATACAGAGCGTGTTGCTCAGCTGTAGTTCTACAAAAGCCAGCTGGATGACTATCGGAATGGCCTCACACTACCATTAATGGACTGCGCCTGGACCCTTATCAATGTCTGCACACAAAAGTTGACAGACACACGTTCACTCACATAAGTGTGCACACATGCGAGCGTATGCATGTGGCATACGCTTAAAAAAAAAATAGCCGCATAGATTAGGCAATTCATGGGTTAAAACTGTGTATTCCTCGAAGCCCAGCCACACACACACACAAACCTACACCTCCACTGACTGCTTCCTTCCTCCTTATCTTTATCTTTCACACACCACCAAAGAAATATACAGTAATTCATATCCATGATTGATTCTATTTTTTATACACGCCTTGAGGAGGGGAAGAGCTATTATATCGTGTTTGAGTTATGGGCTCTTGGCATCCGATGTGTGTGTGATGTGTGCGTGTGTGGTGTAGTTGTGTGTGCTGATGTGTGTGCAGTGTGCCGTGCTGTGTCGTATGTGTGTGTGTAGCTCCTCCTCTTGTGTGTGCTCAGTTGGAGCTGTGATATGCTCCTTGCCAAAGGAACACCTGAGCTTAAAATGCTCCACTGCTGGCTGCGTTTGAAAGAAGACGCTCATACTTTGACTGATCTTTTTGCAAAACACTTGGTACATTTGCACTGTGCTCAGACCTCTTCTTGGCTGGGGCCGACGTCTGCTTGTAAATTATATGATCAAGAGTCTCTGGGACAAATAGCTCTATTGATAGGTGTGCTTGTGCGCCTTTTACTGGTTGGCTGTGATGCAAGCGCCTCTTCAAGCCCACTTTAGCAGCCAAAAGGACCTGACATGAGTGTAAGAAGTAGAAATACATCTTATTGCTTAAACTTATTATATAAAAAAGAGTCTCTTCTACAAGAATATGCAAAACACAATTAAACAGTAAATAAAATGAATTAAGATTTCCAGGACTTTGTGTTCAAATAGCAATACATGTGATGTCTCTGCAGTTAACTGAGGTGAAACTAAACCTGTGATTTTTCTTGGGGGGTTTTCCAGTCGACATTATCTCCTGTTGGTGGCACTATACTAACCTCCTGCAGGTCCAGGGTTTGCCTGTTGTATGGCAAAGCAGAGTCACAGTCTGGTATGTAGTTATCACAGTAGTTGGCAGCAGCCTGGGCATCTTCCAGAATCAGTAGTTGCTGAATATCTCCCTGAAATAAACCAGGGAACAGACAGAGAGGAAAACAAGTGTCATGTTATGAAGTCAAATGTACAGGAGAAGAAGAATAACCCCATTGGAGCACTGACAGAAACATTCAGTAGCTGCTGCCGCACTGTGAAGAGACATTTTGCGAGGACAAGACGACTGAACAATACCTTGTACACCGAAGACGCTGTGAGAACGACAAAACTGGCTGCATACCTAGATGTAAGGCAAAGTGTATCAAAAAAAAAAAAACTGCTACTGCTGCTACATTTGCTACTGACTACTGCTTCTCTGTGTTCCATAACTCCACGAGGGGCCTGACTGCGTACACAAAACAGTCAAATAGCTCTCTCTCACCCCCCTGTCAGGACCTTTCACTTCCCATCCTGCCCTGGAGGCGTAGCCAGTGTGTATATACAAACACGCACAGAGACAGCACTGCTGGACCCTGCAGTGCTGAGCCCAGAGCCTCTGTTGGCTTTGTGGCCTCAACATCACTCTTCTGCCCACATTGCTTTAGAACATAATGCTTTGTAGTGCTGAAATAACTAGTCGATGAACTGTCAAATACGATACCAAACACAGAGCTTTACGGATGTTTTTCTGTTACATGTCACCAATAAATAAAAATTATTATTACAACAAGATTAACACAACAATTGTGGCCCAATTAACTTTAGCCACTTGTCATTATTTTGGGGCATCATCATGTGTTGAATGATGAGAAAAAAAAAAATTAGATCCAAAAGATTAACTGAAATAACGGTAAAATGATTCTCTGTGAGACGCAAGTTGGAAAATAATTCAATATAAATGCAGGCAGCCCCATGGCACTGTGTTTGACAGGGTTTAGATTACATTAGCGATACGAATCTATGTAACTGACAGGCCACTGCAAACATATTACCGGGTGAAATGTTATCCAGGGACAGCTGGGCAGCCATTTGTGATGAATTAAGTCAGATTAACTGCTCGATGTTGTGGTAATTACAGTCCCATTGTAATCTCTTTAATTAGGCTTTAGCGGCCAGAGGTGAAATAAATCAAAACATATCGCTTCTCCGTTTCCTGCCACCAGATATATATCTTCTAACGCAGCTGAAATCAGGCCTTATCAGCACTGCATGTCTACGCAAAGCCTGGATCACCATACGCAAAACTGTAAACCTCGGAATGACTGTTGAAACACTCATTTATGCTTTAATACATCAAACATGAAAGGAGTTGTTATCCACTTATCCTTTTTTTTTTTTTTTCTTCCTGCTCTGGCAAAAAGCCAGTGTCAAGCAAAGGAAATTATTGCACTCTAAGGTGAGAGTGAGAGAGAAAGGCAACAGGGAGTTAATCCAATCTAATCCAATCTCAATTTGAGATCAAAGGCAACACTTCTACAGAGAAGTTTTCCTGTTTTTCTTGCCTGGCAGGGGCTCTCCGCTGAGTAAAGTGTTGCCCAAAATCATGTGTGCTCTGCCATTCCCCATTTAGGATGGGGGCAAGGACATCTGACGAGGACGTGAGGATGTGCTGAAAAGGAAAACACCTCAGCTGAATCCACAAGTTTCTGATGGCTCACAAACATCCTGCATGAGTTCACGCATGGCTCCACTGGCAAAAGTTCACTGGTGTTTCAGGGAGTGACCTCTTTGCTTTCCCCCTGCTGTCTGCAATAACTTGTTTTGTGCCCGCTAGCCAGCACCTCATACCGCTTTACCAAACGACAGACCTAATATGAGGCACTGTCTGCGCATTTGCAGCCTTAATCAGATCTCAACCCTTAATAAATATCTTGTGTGAGTCACAAACTCGTGTCGGTTAAGGAACAACCGGAAGTTTACCACAAACAAGCTCACTGTAATGGAAAACCCTGTTGATGCTCCTCATTTGTTTAAAGTGCAACAGATGCTCACATCTAACCAAAAACATATGACCACCATCACACATAAGTCATTACCAGCCCAAAATATGACTTAAACAGACCCTGACCCTGACAGATTCGATGTGCGTCTCTGATTTGGGTGATAAGTCGGCGTGGTTGCTGAACATTAAAATAAAGCTGCTCTTTAATGATATGCTTGACAAGTCATGGTTTCAACACGCCTGTAACAGTGAGCCAAAAAACATTTATAATTTCCAGTACTAATCGAGGCAGAGGGGATCTGAATTTCCTAACAAATAAACGCTGGGCTGGATCTTATCTAAGCAGTCAGCGTGTTTGAGGCACAGACACAGGGCACACAGCAGCCAAGTAGGAGCTCAAGCAGACTTGTGGACAGTTTGATGTTTGCTTTACTGCAAATGCAAGCAGAGTGTTGAGCTTGAGCACCAAACTTCTGTAATCATTTGTATGCAATCTGGAAGCAATAGAGACATTAGTGGCTGACCACGGTCCCCATGCTCCCACGCTGAGCTCCCACGCTGGGAGAACTGGGCCGGAACACTGGCCTCCTCCCACAGAACCAGGGCCTGGGAACAGAGGCCCAGAGGTCAGCCTGTTTAATCTCTCCTCCCCTGGTACCGGCCTCACCCGAGGTATACAACACTGATGCTTATACTTGTGGCAGTGAATGCATACGTGCACACAATGACACTCATATTTCACCATCACATGTATCGATGAAAGAACGAAAACAGAAAAAATTATTTGACTTTTTTGAGATTTTTTTTTTTTCATGTTGTCCAAAAAAAGCAATATATTGATTCTAAAACATTAGCACAGTGACCACAAAAACAGCACAGGCTGGACTAAAGGATGGATCTGGGTTAGTCATCACAGAAAATACAGTATCATCATCATAAATTTTCACATAGAATGATTTAAAAGGACATGGGAGTGTTTTTGGAGCATGGCCAAAGATGAAATGGTCTCCATTGCTTCTGAAAAGGGGAATTTATAGAGCCCACAAGGAGACACATTTCCTAACTGAAGTGGAATATAAAGAAAACTGGAGAGTCTGTCAGTGTCTGAGAGCAGGACGGGAGGGGCAACTGAGGTTAAGTTAGGGCATAGGGAAAGTAAAATGAATGTGTGGACAAGGTTAAGGGAGGGGGGGGACTACACACTCAAAACCCAAATTAGAAGGTGTTCACCTGTCAGGACATCTGGTTTCCTCCTGGAGAAAGTGAAGAAGGTTGTGTTTCTGTCCATTAGGCCAATGGGGGAGTGATAACAACCCTCCCTCTGTGCTTTGTTCAAATTTAACTACGCTATGTAATAAGGTACACTTGCGTGTACCTTATTACACCTCTATCTGTATTTCCTTTTTCTCTCTTGCTCCACAGCTGAGCAGACACAGAGCCACGAAGACATAGCAGGGGAAGGGGCTTGAGCTGATCTCTATTTCATGCTGTGGGCGAGAGATTTAGAGTGGAGCCTCTCTGGGAATGACAATGGAGCAGTTGTTGCATATTGTCATGTGAAGCACAGAGAATGACTTATGACAATAGAAGTTACTGCACTGAAAAAAAAAAAAAAGAAATTGGAATCACTCCCAGAGTTTCGTTTAAATCCTCTTGCTCTTCCACTTTTCCCGTTGCATATTGATACATGTGTGGGCACATACTCTAATGCTATTAACTGAAGAAGTGCACTTCAACTTCAAGAGGATGAAAATGATCAACTTTTTCAGGCAGACGCAATTTGAAATGACGAAAAGCGACAATTTTATCCGTGACGCATGTCCCCTGCTTCTCGTTGAAAGACACAAAAACCCAACATGTGCAGCCAAAAGAAGCAAGTATCATCCTGCAAGAGGATGAGCCTTGGCCCTCACAAGACATGACCAAACAGTCAGACATGTTTCCTGGCGCCCAAATGCACAGATGGCCATTCAGACTCGCATCAACACATCTATAGCCAACAGATCCAACTGACAAATCCAAAAAGCAAAGAGTGTGTGTCATTTCTTGGCTTTGCAATGACGAGGCCAGGCATGTACGAACAACACGCCCCCTCCTCCCCCAACTCCTTCCCAAACACCTCTTTTCCTCTGCCCTGCTTTGTTCCTGCAGCACTTGATTGACAGGAGACCCTCATCACCCCATAGCCTCTTGAACTGTGATTTCTTTTTTTCCCTTTAAGTCTTTTCCTAAGTAGCTTTAAAGGTGTAGGGGGTGGGGGGTGGGGTCGGTGGTGGTGGTGGTGGGTGGATTCCACAGTCTCAAATACAGTTTATATCTCTGCTTTTCCCACCATTTCACCAGCACAACTGGACTGTACTGTATCATACTCCATAGATCACATAGAGTATATGATGTTTGGAGATGCAATTTACACAGGGAACTTGCAAATTCTAATTTTCTGTATTTCTTGTGCATTTTTATGCACATTTCTCCAAAATTTAGCCCTCAAATAGTTCTACTTTGTTTTAGAACAGAATTTGAAGCAATGTGGGTATGAACAGTGCTTGGCAAATGGTGCAGCAGGGAGAGGTTCTCTAATCTAAACAACAAACGATCCAAACACTCATAACTTTACTCAACTGGCCATAGAAAAGTCTGAAGCAGTATAGATTAAACGCCCTCAGTTTGGTTTAAAAAAGTGTGATAGTCTACAGTCTTCATATGAATGAAAACAAGGTCAGTGAGGCGTCCCCCTGCAGTGTCTTGTCAGATGACTATGTTAATATGCAGTGTATATTACCCCAGTGAAAGTCTCCCGTGGTTTCACGTACACACTTAATAACACAAAGTTCACATCATACTGACCCTCCTTTTCGTCTTTATGTAAGAGATGCAGGAAAGGACACACGCCTGCTGGGGATTCGACTAAATCCGATGAAAACCAGGCAAGTGAACTGGATAAGAGTGTGACACCCAAATAATACGTGTGATTGTCTGTTCTCAGGGGCTGCTGCGCTTTGATAATGTCCTACCTCAAACACATCTTCGTCCAGCAGCCGTGTCCCAAACACAGTGACACCCTCTGTACTGACGACAGCATCGTCCCCTCGCAGCAGATCCAGGGTCTCGACCTTCTGGCAGTCCAAGTAGAGGGTCACAGACTTGTCCTGCACGCTGTAGGCTATCCTGTGCCATCTGACAGATCAGAGACAGAGTGAGTATTAACAGACAGTTAGCAAAATTTAGTATTTTGTGTCTGAAGGTAAACCTGATGCCCAAAAGAATCAGCAATGTAAAGAGTTGTTTCATGCCTCTTGTAAGTGCAGTAAACTTGAAGTGTCTTTGAGCCCAAGGGGACTGTGAAGGATTGATTTCCTTAACACCTTTGATCAGGTCAAATCAATTGCAGCGAGTGCTCCACAACCACCTTATTCTCTTTGAGGTCACTCAAGCTCAAGCACGAGGAGTGAGCTGTACGAATTAGACTGCAGAAATGTGAGGGCTGCCTCAGATTTCAAGGTTTGGGAAAGTTATACATGCACAGTTAATATAGATTACACTGCTGATCTACTGAACACACACACATCAGATATAATGTGCTGTTGAAATCAACAGAAAGGGCAGATGTTTTATTGATATCTGGTGTAATGGAGAGGTTATAGGCCCTCAAACTACCCACTTTCCATCAGCTAGGTTGATCTTCTTGAAGATGGGGTACATTTCTGGTGTGGGCTGCCCATGTTGGTCCTCATAGAGGAAGACAGGCGAACGTCCCACCTCCAGCCCCAGCTGCTGGACCCCCTGGTCATCATACACTGAAAGCAGGAAGAACTGGGAGCCCTTTTTAGCTCGCAGTGTAGCCATCAAGGAGAAACTCTCAGGGAATTTGGAATCTGAGAGGGGAGAGAGGAGAGGAGAGGAGCTGTTAAGTCATACAAGAGAGAGCACAGCAGGAAGCAGACATTTTTATAACATGCAGACACCACCTGCTGCCAGTGAGACCTGAGCAAAGATAATAATGATGAAAAATATTGCCCATGGAAGCAGCGAGCACCCACGAGGAGGAGTAAAAGGAGTTCAAAGTCGGATTTCTAAAGGTCTTACTGACTTACAAAAGTGACACATTTGATTGCTTTTTGCCATTTTTGGAAATTCTAATTGCCGGATGGGACCGGAGGCTATGCTGTATGTGATCAAGTAGGGGGAAAAAAAAAAAAAGTCGGCTACCAGGGAAAAGTTGTTTGGTGGGAGCACTGAGCTGGATCTTTTTGTCTATCTTGTAGGCCAGGTCCGGCTGCTCCATGCCCCTCCTGCTGCTGCAAAGACCAGCCTCCAAGGACACCCCCTCCATGTTCTCTGACAGGTCCAACACCCGCAGGACATCAATGAGATCAGCTGGGAATGGAAACAAAGGAAAAAAGTAACCATCTACACACAGTTATAGAGAAGATATAAGAAATAAGAAATATAGCTTTTTTTCTTTCTTTTGATGTCATGCTCACAGACAAGATAAAATAGCTGATGCCCTGCTTTCTGTTAATTCCTGTCTCTACCATTGTATGGAAAAAAAAAAACTACTTATGATAGGGTGGAGCTTGTGGCAGATGGTGGCAGCATGCTTTTAGTCATGTCAGACTCACAGTTAAATTCTGCCAGTGTGACAGCACTTTGTTGTCTGGCTCAGTTAAGTGCTGGTTGCTACCAAGCTGAAGAGCAGGGTTTAGTGCGGCTGAAAGCCGGTCTTAAAGTGAGGAGGCTTCCTGCTTCCTCAGAGTCGGAAGAGACCAGCTCCTCTGAGATGTGGCGGCAGGTGGCCAGGCTTCTGTGGGTGTTATTATAGGATAGGGGTGGTACACAGCCTAACCCATAATCCTACTGCAGCACACCTGACAGCTGACACCTGCACACTGCTCACCCTGCACCAGAGAGCAACAATATGCCCACATCACATTTATCATAATTTAAACACTTCAATTGTGTAAATAAGTGCATCAGTGATTCATATATTCTCACTGCTAAAACATCTACCCTAACAAGTCAGAAAGCTTTGTATTAAGCCTTAGGAAATACACTTTTCTGCCAATGGGGGTAAAGTCATTGTATATGTTCCCCAAGCAGTTGCCTGATTTTCTCAAAGTGCATGTAAACATCCTGAAAAAAGACAGAATAAGGCAAATTGCCGCAGCACTATCACGATAATTGATAGTATTCTCATTAAAACAAGTTGATTTTTATTCTAATTATTTTTCATTACAATTGATATAATTAGTTTTATTATAATTATATTATAATTATGCTTTTTTGCAATGAGCACAGCAACTACTGCCCCTCTAGATATGACGTGTCTCCCAGTGGTGGGTCTTTCTCATTACAATGAGCTTGTACTTTATTTGCAGTCTGCTGGTCATGTTATTAGATGTTCTGTTGATAAAGTGTTGCCGTGAGCATTAGCCAGGATCAGAGTTTTGTGTGCAGCCGGTCTCCCACCAGCTGCTATAGAGAGTCTGTTTGAGGCGACTCAGCACTTAGCATTCCAGGCAACTGAAATGAGGATCCTAAACCTAAATTGCCTCCTGTAGCTCTCGCCGCTCATACAGAGCTCGCCTTTTATTCTCCTCGTTAATTAAACATGTGGAGAGAGTTTACTGTTGCCCAGACTTTGCTTGCAGAAAAACACCGCGTTACATTTTATGGCATTATTTATTTGCATAGCACAGGCCGTTTATTCCAAGCAGCTTTGAGAGCTTGCCCTCTCAGTCCCCTAGCATGGCAATGGGGCTGTAAATAGGTTAAGCTGTGAATTACAGCCAGGCTCCAACAATGGAAAACATTAGGTACAGATCTAAAGGTATTTAAGACCTCAGGGCTTGAATTTTGAATTTATAGAGAGTCATGAACAAATTGTGTAAATTAAATAATTATAGAAGTTCCAGGCTTTTAACAACAAAAAACCTCAGGCTCTTGTATGTACAATGTACAATTGGCACCATTAAATGTTCACCCACACAACATCATTTAGGATGCTTTTCAAATCTGCTCCAGCCATCATGATAGTGAACTTAGACCTAAATGCATGGAATAAGGTATCTATTGACTTTAAAAGGCTATGGCCCGGTCGGCCACACTTAGATCAGGAATAAGGAATCTGAACTTTTTTTTCAATTACACATTTTTGGGCACTTTTTAAGGGAGATTCATTCCCAACATAACATGGCTTAATGGCTCTGTTTCACGCTTCATTAAATGAAGTCTTTGTCTTGTTTGTCTCTTGGTCTCATATGGTTAATAAAAATAAAACAGGTTGACAGTGCTGCTTAAATTGGCCAGTAACATGAATGGATTGCAACAAATGCATCTTCATGACATTTACTAAAGTAAGTGAGTCATCAAAAAAGGCTGCATCGTTGAATCCCCCGAGCAGGCTGCCACTTCAGAAGCACAAAACAAAGACACAGCAATTATATTACTTTTCATTAAATATGTAAGCATCTGCATGTCTGTCAGAGGACTTAATTCGTTGCAACAGTTTACTTTGTACTTTGAATCATGTCTGGGTCCTAATCCTTAATATTTGTATTTAATTGCGTTGGTAGGAGTGTCTCTGTCATTGTCTGATCCCATGTGAGCTCTGTATAGCTCTGTTGTGGCCTTGTTTGATTCCTAACTGCAATCGCTCAGACTCAATTTCCTTTGGGATGGCAAAGTTGAAAGGTTGTGTTTTAGTCAAAGATCAGAATCTACTGAACTCTCTCTTCCTCTCTCTTTCCCTCTTTCTATCTACCTTGTTCTTTCTCTCTCTCTCTCTCTCTCTATCTCATGCACAGGGAGGAAGAGGGGTCATAAGGCAGTTATGTTTGGAACAGTCTGAATAATGTTCTAAACTGAAGCAACATGGGTCTAATTATACAGGATTCTTGGGTTTCTGTCAACGCATCCAGAACAGCACCTGACAAAATGGCCAGAAAACAAACTAACACAATTCATTTCAAGCAATCCAAAGATGATATTTCTGCCCAGACCACTGAGTTTTAACGAGAACTGTTGCCCAATTCTGAACATGTTCCAGCCATGGGCTTACAAGAGACTGTTGACCTCTGACACTCTCAAGACAACAGAAATGAGTCAAAATGTGCAACAATGCCACAGGGAGAAATTCGAGACAGGCAGAAGAAATTCCTCCCAAAAAAAGAAACTGCTTTCACAATGATCCTTCAGTTAAACATGCAGGAGAAAACAGGCATCCCACACCCAAGTGTGCTAAATAAACTGCTGAGGGATATGTTTGGCAAGCTGATTCGCAAAACGTGGGAAGAAAAAAAAAACGTGCATTGGACTTAAAAAGCTGCAACCCTGATAGCTGCTGCAGAAAAAAACATTGGATACAAGAATGACAAGTTCCTGTGGAATATCCCCCTCAGTACCACCACCCCTGACTCTGGCGTCAAGAAGAAAACCCCAGGCTAGTGGCAGGCTGCCATATGAAGTCTGTATCCACGCAGCATTCAATAAAGCAAAGCTATCTATTCCCTGTTTTGGATCCATTCATGTCACCTAGAGTTGTGCCAGTTCTTGCAGTCTCCTCACCTATCCTGCAGCACTGACTGTCTGAGCAGGCTTTGCTTGCATCTCATTAGTCTTCGTGCTAATCGTGTCCTTACCTCACCTGTCAAATATTCTACTTCTAAAGATACTTTGGAAAAGAGGAAGGAAGTGGAGAGGGAGAGGAAGAGTACGGGTACAGATGAACAAAACTTGCAAACTAGTGGTTGCTCTGCCGGCCTGTGTGTGCAGCATGCTGTCCCTGCCACTTACAGAAACGGTTCAACAATGTTTGAAATAGCATAGTTGAATCTCTATGGACTGATGACTCAGTGTTCAGTCCAATCACGCCAAAAGGTCAGAGTACATGGGAAGCAGCTGAAACATCCAGCACATTTCACAAACATCTGGCAATTCTGGGAGAACAGTTGTAGCTCACCCACACTGCACAGCGTATGATTAGTGTGTGGGTACATAATAATGCGCGTTCTCTGCATAAGACATTTCTGGAGTCTTCCTTTTTCTTGTTCTCGAGCTTTTCTCCGTGAAACAACCACGTCTGCCCAGCAACAGTGTGCTGTGTGCAGTTTTCCTGACAAAAAGGAGCTGAGCACCCCACCTCACAGATCACGCTCTATCCCCTGCAAATGCCACCACACAGTCTACATCTGTGTTTTTTTGCTCTGGCTGTGCAACACTTGCCACAGTCTCTCCATGCCCTGCGGTCACACATCTCAGCACCACTGGACAATCGTACATGGACAATAATGTGTTCTCTGTGTGTCCGGAGCTAATGTCTGTGAAGACACTGTTTATGACTCACACCACCTACACTCCCTAGTTCAGCCTGAAAATACCACTCCACTCGCACACACGCACACACACGCACACACACAATAGTACACTGTCCAAAACTATTGCGCCTGGGAACTGGGGAATTTTAACAAAAAATTAAGCCAGTATGAATCTGGGCAATGAGAATTCCCCATGATATATTGGACCACACCCTGAGATGAGAGAAAGGAAAGGACTGATATTTAAACATTGATTTGGAGATGTGCATTCATCTTATAACAAATAACATGACGTAGCAAAATTTGTATGTATAAAGCTGAAATATATCTACAGTATGTTATTCTTTTTCTTTTCTTTTCTTTTCTGGATCTCTTCTTCCTTTTGAAATATCTGTTTATTGAAACATTACTGATGAGTGAGCATTTCTTCAGAAAAGATTTCAAACATGACACCTTGTAAAACAGATGGTGATTAATAATGAAAAATTGCTGACAGATCCAGTGGAGGTGATCGAATGAATCCAGACACTATTTCTCCCAGGCTGCATGAAGAATAGCCTTAATCTAATTAGCAGTGGGTGTGACCTTTTGTCTGGGTCACTGCTGTGTGAGGACAACAACACTGTGAGACTAGGAAAGATAATATACACTCTGAATAGGTGGAAATTTAAACACACAAACAGCCAAATGTTAGTTAATACACAGTCACACCAGAATGACCAAACCATTTGCAAACACTGTTTATATATAGCTCATTTATAACGCCCACAGAGGGGGGGGGGGGCAGCATGTTGGACCTCTGCCTTTCTCATAATTTCTCTCTGTATGACTGTTATTTTATCTTGTAAACACAGGTTATTAAAACAGAGAGGGGCACATTAGAAACATCCATGGCGAAGGTAAATCTATTGTAACATTGAGACAGAGGCATTTTTGTTGGGCTGGGAGTCTGCACACTGAGAGGCAGCGATGTTTATCGCTCTGAAAGTGCTTTGTGGTTGGGTCTGCTTCCAGTTATCCCTGAGCGGCTGTGCACATGACTGCTGGGAATGGTTTTTAACATGTTCTGAGGGGATATGGATGATGAAGTCATGAATATCGTTGGGAGACAATGAGAGCAATGATGAAAGCAACCAGTACAGCCTATTATAAAGTCTTTGATCCATTTTAAGCATGTAGCCTGTAATACTAAATTATTTGTAATAGCGTATTATTAATATTCGAGTTTATGCTCTCTATGCCTGTGTAGGCATGAGGCGAGACAAAGACATGCATGAGTTTTCATGCTGAACTAACTGCGCATGCGCTGAAAGAGTGGAGGGCAGACTGGACCTGACTTGAAAAGCGGCGGGAAATGCTCTCGGTCTACATGCAAACTACAAAGATGGCAAAGACCATGTCGCAAGAGAAACTATTTATCAGAGCATTGTCATTCACTCGCTATAGATCTGAACAAGACACATAGTCAGAGGAACAAAGCACAGAAGCGTTAAACTGCACCAGTGCCACTTTCCTCTTCTAACATATGTCCTTGCTCCTTGCTGTTATTATTATCTTCATTTATCACTATTATTATGATTTAGCTTATTCAGAGAGAGCTCTGCTGAATATAGGTCAGTGGCTGTGTCCTGTTGTTTATGCTCGCTGTTATATATTTGGCGTTGAAGCTGAAGGTCTGTGGTGGAATCTGGTTACACATTTCCTTCCAGTTCTCATCAGCACCACATTCTTCAATCTCCACAGTTTGTTCTGCTCATGTTTGTTCACAGCAGGTCGGTCCGGCAGGCCAAAAGCTGCTTGGCCCGCAGAGAAAACACCTGCCCCTCAAGGCCTCAGACTGGGCAGGCTATCCACACAAACACACACACACACACACACACACACACACACACACACACACACACACACACACACACACACACACACACACACAGAAACACACATTTGTACTTCTATACTTGTGAGGACATTCTACAGTAAACCTATTCCCTAACCATAATCTCCTCTGCATGCCTAACATTGGCCCTTAACCTATCATGACCCACTTTCTAACCACTGAACGTCCTTTAAGAGGTGGTGGAGGCTTTAGAATTTCCTCATGTTGGAAGATCTTTTCTCATCTCTTTATCGGGTCCTCATAAATATGTAACACAGCACCACAACAAATACAAACAAAGGTGCACCAATACAATTTCTATAGCATATGTGTATATACAGCATTTAAGACCTCAGGCACAGAGGATTACCCAGACACAAACATGCAAGCGTACACATGACCAAGCCCATTCACGTTTCAACTCCAAGCCATCACTTAGTCCCTCAGACATCATAACACTGAGGCAGCTATTATGGAACGAAACACGAGCGCTGCCGAAATCAAAGCATAACACTATATGCTACGCACACCATGTGTAATACAGGTATATACACACGCTCCTCTACTGCAGCAGCTCAGCGTCTATGCTAAAGGACAGAAGTGTAAATATGAGCAGGGCCACCATGTCACTGAGGGTCGCATATTGTTTTTCAAGAGCGTACACATGGCTCCGGTAGGAAGGTTTACTACTGTGACCTCTGAGATGTGGAAGAGATGGATGAGCGTGATAAATCTCTTCTGAGGCTCATAAACTGGGATAAAGACGCAGATGACATGTTGAGGGACACTGCAAAGGAGTCAGCTCCTCTGATGTCTGCTCATTGCAATTCTACAGGAAGCATCTCGCAACTGGTGCCACAAGAAGCTGCTTGAAGCATCCAGTGATCAGAAGCACAGAGCCACAGAAGCCTGAGGGGAAGGGAGTTACTGGGTTTCTGGATGCCAGATGTGTGTTGAATACTATAGATTGCAGTTGCAGCTCCATGAACTGTTTAAGCATAATTTCTACATATTAAAGACTTACATGGAGAATTCCAAACACTTTGCCTCATCAAAAAGTCTGAGAAGCATTTTGATGTGACACTTGCGGCATCAGCAACTAGGGACAGACATCAGCATCTCTGACACCTCTGATGTTTAATGTTTCCATTAGAGAAACACAAGCTCATAACAGAAGAAGACAGTAGAGCTGTAACGGGCATCAAAAAAATTCCTCTTTTCCTATTCTCTATCCTGCTAAATTCACTTGCCTTTTTCATTTGCCACTAATTTGCTGCTGGATCAAAGGCGAACAAGGCTCGCCGCCCTCCTCTGGGAGTCTGGTAAGGGATTGGCAAGGAAGTTGGATCAAACGGGACGCAGTGAGGGGGCTACATGCACAATTTCTCCTCTGTCATAGAACCCGTGAAGGATTAAGGCATAAGCAGGAGGAGGGAGATGATGTAAATGAAGTGATAATGCATATAAAATAAAAACAAACACTCCCTCTTCACAGACTTTGAATGGAACATTTAAAAAAAAAAAAAAAAAAGAAAAGGAGAAAGAAAACAGAAAAAAAAAAAAGGCGTTGAGGCAAAAGAACAGAGGATTCTAACTGAAACTAACTGTGGACGTTTGCAAGAATGTCTCACTTCCTGTCAGCAAACATGACTACAAAGTACTCTCTCATCTCTCTCGAACACACACAGAAAGCATATGGGAAAACATTCTTTCGCTGCAATAGACACACACACACACACACACACACACACACATGCACATGCACACAAACACTCACAGACTCAGAGGCACACAAACGCATTATCAGCCACATGCACAAATCTAAGACTGCCATATCAGTGCCGCCATATGTCCCATGCAATTTGAAATCATCTCAGCCTCTCACTTCACAGGCCCTCATTAGAGAGCAGTGGACACCACAGCCGCCGTGTCGCATGAATATGATTATGACAGTTGGCTCACTTCCTTTTGCCATCGCTTTATTTCAGCCAATGAAATTCCAACAGCTCCTGCCAGCCCTAAAGTGGGAGCATGTGGAAAAGCCACCAGTGAAAATGAGACATCTTAAAGCACTCGAGGGTGACCACAGGGTTAACTCCTGCTGTTGGGGCATGTCTCTCCATCAGGGAGTCTCTAAACCGCAGCACCTGCAAGGAAATAAGTCTGCTGCCAGTCGAAGATACTCAGGACATGGCCACGGGGCATGGAGGCCTGTGTGGGTGACAGATAGCAGTGGGCCAAATGACATACAGTGTAGATGCGCAACCTGGTTGTTACAGGCTGTCTTGGGGAACAGGGACGTTTGAAAATGGCTGCAAGGCTTTGTTGAATATGCCTGAAAGTGCATCAAAAACTGGAGTCCATCAGAACACTGTGGCACACAGACAGACACAGCATGTAAAAAATTTTTAATGTGCCAGAATAATCATAACTAAGGTAGTAAGAGAGTTAGTGCTAAACACCTTCACTTAAGAACTATGTGAGCAGAGGGCACATTAAACAGATCCATGACAGGAATTTTAATCTACTCAGCTCGGTCAGTGTTCAACCATTCACCTCTTTCTCAAGCCAACGCTAAATCTTTTCACAGTAAACCGACGCTGGTCACAAGCAAACTCAAAACATGACATCATGCATCTCCTGAGGTCGCTGCAGGCACACCTGACCTGACACATGCAGGAAAAAAAAAAGACATATTCATATTCAAACCTTGGAAACGTGTTCGATAACAATGCAAGCTGGAGCAGGAAAGAAGCTGATTGAATCAAAGCGTGCCCCCTTTGTGCAACGACGCGAATAATTAATAGAATGTGTGTGTGTGTGTGTGTGTGTGTGTGTGTGTGTGTGTGTGTGTGTGTGTGTGTGTGTGTGTGTGTTCAAATAATACATAATTGCACATAATTTTCTTGCAAAGTTCTGAAACGTCCCGACAACTTCTAAAAGTCATTTGCGCCAGCTCACGGTTGTAATCCCGGCCTGAAGCGACTCTGTGGGGCAAGTAGCAGCATCACCACAAACATTCACACAGATTCCCAGCACAGATATCAGCCTCTCCCACACCAGCCTGTAAGTGAGCCGCACCAGACAGAGACTAAAGATTATTCATTGGTTCTAACAACTTTGTGCTGGCTGAAGGCCAAGTGATGAATGAAGGCGTCTGGAAAAAAAAAAAAAAAAAAAAAAAAAAAAAAAGTAATAGAGACCGGGATAAAGGAGAAGTGCATCATTTACAGAAAGCACTAAGGAGACTTCAATGGACACTTCTACTTATTCTATAGAAAGTGGATATCTTTATTATTTCACTGCAGTTGTTGCAGCTTGATACTTTACCCGCTTGTGTGGTCGTCACGTGAAGCAGGATAAAAAGAAATAGCGATATTCTCCTGCGCGACCTGGTCCTTACTAAATGGTCCATCTTTCCAGGCGGAGACCCCCCTCTGCCTCCGCAAACACCAAGTTTCTACTGTACTGTAGTTCTGTGAGCAGGAACTAAGCAGCCATGCGGTGAGAAAAGGAGAGAAGCCGGTCCGTAGTTCCACTTGCTTGATTGTTGGTGAAGTTTTGTTGTTGTGATGGCTCCTCTCAGTTTCGCTCTGTCCCTCTCATTCAATTTCTCCCTCTCACCATCACTCCCTCCCTCTGCTCTCCACCTCCTCCGCCTCTTCCCTCCCATAGGACGGTGTCCTGGGACTCATGGATGAGCGGTACGCCTGCACAAGACTCCGTCATAAATCACTTTTATTACTCGCGATAATTTGTTAGGTCTCACTTCTTAAGGGTGCTCATTAGGAACAGAGGCGATAGGAACTGTTTTACCTGGTAACCTGGCAGTTTCCTCATTTTTGCAGATCTAGCCATGTGTAGAAAACTTTATCATCCACCGAGACTGTAACAAGACAGGGATTAAACTATTTGATTTACAGTGATGGTCATGGTAGATGATGATGATGATGATGATGATGATGATGATGCAAACATTTCAGATATTTCTGTATTTAATTCTAAGGATTTGGCCCATGGATCCCATGTTAAGTGTCACCTGACAGTGAAGGGTGAAGGTTTGACCAAATCATTTGAAGCTGGAGGATGTATGTGAACTTCACAGGTGCAGGTAAATACTCCTAAACATTAAACTTCAATGAGCAAGTTTTTTTTTTTTTTTTTTTTTTGCAGACCAGGGCGTGTTATCTCCACCATCAGCCTAATCTCATCCCAGCATTTCAGCAGCAATGCTTGTTCGGGCTGGAGCTTGACCACTGAGAGATGGAGCTGGGGCTTGAGGCTGGAGGCTGAAACATCTCAGGTTAGAGGTCGCTCAGTGCTGACAGTGCAAGATCGGTCGGCTTGGTTAGTTCAGAGGCAGTCACACCTGGCTAAAAACCATTATTTAAAATAATAAGATTTATTATTGCACAAGCATTAAATTTAATTTGAGTGGTCCTCCCTTTAAAGCTCCCCAACATAGGCCAATCCACCAGGCAACAGAAAGTTCATGTTCACACAAAACAGAAATATATATTTTGTCCTTGTTTAACCTCATCACAATGAAGAAATATTTACATTTGAGCATGTTTTTACAGGTATAACATCATATGAGCAGAATTTGCATAAAATGTCAAGAAGTCAACAATGTTTGAGTTGGGACACTGCTGAGAGGAATGAGCAGAAGTAATATGTTTTGACAAGTCACCTACTTCTTCATACTGCAGGGGACATTCGTCCCAATCATCTGCCAAAACTTCTGCCAAAGTTGATACAGTGTTGATCACTTGTGGATGCTGAATACGCTCCTGCCAGAAGCCTAACTAATTCAAGAAGACTGTGGTATTCAGTTGAAACATGCTCTAAGATAAGACTTGTGAAGACCTTGTCTAATTGGAAAATTACCAAAGACCAAAAGCTTTCTAGAGTCCAAGCTACAACAGGCCTTTGTAAAGTAACTGGGAGCTGGAGCCAAACTGTAAATTCTCAAGGGAAAAGAGACTCAAACCACAAAGAGAAGGAGAAACACATCCATTTAAAAGACACAATTCTTTCTTTTATCCAAAGATGCTGTTCCAT